CTGCTTCCTTGCTGTCTGTCCTTTGTACTGGGTACAATATAGTTACCATCCTCTAATTGGCCCAAACCTGCAGTGGACAGTAAAAGTGCAACTTTGGACAGACCGTCATGAGTCAGTAGTCCATTACTGATGGACAGCCGACTTAATGATGTGGCTTTACCTCCTGCAGTCGACATCTGTTCCATATACACTGTAGTGCTAATTCAATTATTCTTCATGATAGATGAAGCAATAACTAAATGATGATTCAAAAACACCTATTTTTGGGTCACAAATATTGCAAAACAAAAAACAGTTTTAATGGAGTTTTAAAAATACATTTATAATTCTCTTCTACACACACAGAGATAAATAATTCTAACTTTTTCACCTTCTCTGTTGTTTTCTTTTTCCTTAAGTATTTTTTTTTTTTTAACTTTCATATTTTTGGCTGTGTTCAACCTGGACACAAACATAACCAATAAAAGAGTCTCAGGTAATCAACTAATGGGAATGAGTGTGTACAATTTTAGACAATACTAACTAAATGTACCTCCTCAAGACTCGTGTTGATCTTAGTGCCACAAAGAAAGGCTTTGATTTTTTATTGCAGATTGATTTAATGGTTACAGTGTAGGTCCCTCAGGAGTGGTTGGAATTAAGGGGTCTTGGAAGGACAATCAACACTGATGAAAGAGAGGGTGATCATGCGACTGAGTCTAGCTCTTAAGTGAATCAAATTGTTTCTGTGAAGCAGAGTACAGTTTTGTGTACATTTAGTTCACCCTGATGAAAGCAGCGAGTAGCATTCAACAGATATTCAAATTATGGCAGTCAAACTAAGTAGGGATTGGTCTAAAGAAAGAGCCCAGCCTGCCATCTACTTCCTGAGTGCCTATGTAGCACACCTGAGGCATGGGAAGGAAAAGCCGTCAGCTCTTACAGGTGTGGTTCCACAGTAGGGGCCATGCAGGAGAGACAGGACTTGCCTTTGGTAAGCATCTGCTCATATTATATCATTTACTTAAATGTTTAATTTTTAAGATGTTATGGTAAAAACAAGTCTGTCAGACATTTCATATACATTTGAAGGGAAATGTATGTTTAAATATAAAGCTGTTTTTTAAGATGTTATGGTTAAAAGGTCAGACATTTCATATACATTTGATGGGAAATGTATGTTTAAATATAAAGCTGTCCAAAAATTGTTACATGCAGGGCAACTGGTCTTTTTTCACCTCTCATCCAAGAGGCTTCTTCAGTTCTGTCCAGTTACACTTGATGTAACGATTTTTGGATAAAATGACCTGGATGACTGAGAACCTACACACACAATATACAGCTGTGTTTCTCCTAACAGTATCTTATCAGCAGCATTATCAGGAAAAAAAATGTTTTTTAGGGGAAAGTTAACAGTTGCCTGATGAATAATATAAATATTCAACCCAAACCTCAATTTATGAGCAACAGCATTTGCTTAATCTAACAACTTTATGTTACTGTATATATGGTTGGTATATTATTTTATTATATTAGTCCTAAATATCCATATTTATATACAGATGTAAAAAAGACTGTTAAATGAAACAAACGTAATATATATATATATGTATGTCATTTATTTGTTTATTTACTTCATTTAGCAATCTCTGCTATATCAGTTGATTGACAGACTTTCATGGTTCCTTGGGACCCTACACTCCCCCTCTAACACTACAAAGCTGCGTGCTTGTCATCTGATAAGTTACACAAATTGCTTTTGACACTCTCCATTACTCTCTCATCTTCATTCAATAATAAAGGTTCATGCTGAATACCCTGAAGGTGGGGCAGCATATCCTCTACCCTTGCATGCAAATCGTCTTGTTTGCATAACCAGTGAAGTTCTTTCTGTCTAAGACCCACGGCTGTAGTCAAATGCTCACACATATGATCCTCTGTTTTGAAAATATGGTAATACATCATATTATTCTCAGTGTGTTTGTCATCCTGGCCCTACCCATTGAAAATACCCAGAGAATCGACAGCTTTAGGAAGAAATTACCACTAATGATGCATTTGAGTTTGGTCATTTTATACAATCCTCTAATACAAAGGCATGATGGCAAATGAAAGTCAGGCAAATGGATAGGCTTATCAATAATGAATGAATTCTCTGCACAGAACAATCCTCAAATAGCCCAAGATTCTATTTTTAGGGGAAAACAATGACTAAGCCTGAAGAAAGTCATAAATTCAAAAGCAAATTGTACACACACTGTGAGTTTATTCAACACTTTGGTAGCCAAGCAAATGATGTGTCTCTCCTTTAATGTGCTCCATTATTGACAGCATTTTTCGGCAATTCATATTCAAGCGACAGACGGAAAGGTCTTTGCATATGAGGCGAGGATGAAAATCCTGGGGACTTTGCATTGACCACGAGTACTTCTAACAACCTTTGCATATTTTTAATTTGTGTCGGGGAACACATTTGGAGGATAAAGCCCATAATATGTGTGCATTCATTTGTTCACAAGGGGAAACTGCACCCACAGACACGATGCCTGCGATGTGGCGAAGTGCTGGAATGGTCAGAGGAGCACAGGTGTGTTTGTGTGTGTGTGCTGTTAAATGACCATTACTCTTGTTGCTACCCTTAATTTAAACACAAGATGTCAGTAATTTAATATCCAAATAAAAAAATATGACATCTAAAAAACCGTTAATTTACACAAAAATAATAAATTCCGTTCCATTTTTGTTTAAAGGCAAAAAAGAAATATAAAATCCAGAGGAATCAGGCTTGTGGCCTCTAAGGATTAATAATTTATTCATTGTCTTCTTTCTACCTCTTTCCTCCTCTTCTCTTTTCTCCTCGTCCACCTCCTACTTCTCCTTTATCTTTCAGCAGCTTTCAGTGGCAGCTATCCTTGCTTTCTCGACAGTTTCAACAACAATTCTTGTCACTGAATCTTCCCTGTGATCTTTTCCTCTTTCCTGGCAGCTTCTTCTCCAACATCCCTAGTCCAATATATCCACTATCTATCCTCAGCAGATTCAAACCATCTCAACTTTACCTCTCTAACTTTATCTCCCAACTACTGTCCATCTTAGCTGCAGCTCTGGAATGCTTATTTTTTAATCCCGTCCACATAAAGTTTAAAATATAAATGGGTTGACAAGTAAAAAAAGAAAAGAAAGTAGGCAAAATGAGGTGACTGTATTTTCGAAGCACTTTTCAGATGGAAAGGTCAATTTTAAGATGCTGTAAAAACAAGAAAGGGAGATAGTTAAAGGAAACCAGGTACAACCCTAGGTAAAATGTCAAGAAGAGCATAAAAGTAATAAGAAATGTATTGTTTTCTAGATAGATAGATACTGTTGACAGATAGATAGATAGATGTAGTTATCTGTCTAGACAATAACAATATCCCCCTTTAATCTGTCCCACTCTCAGTGTCCTGCTGGGCTGCTCCTGCTGTTCCACAGTGGATGAAACACTGGAAGACGTGGCCAGAGGCCTGGCCAGCAGGATGAAGCAAGAGTGGAGGGACTGGGCGGCAGGACGAGTGGGTGACATCGACTTCACAGGACCTACAAAGACAAGAGGAAAGGTGAAAGTAACTGACATAAGAAATGCTGAGGGCCGTAAATGCAATTGGGGGAAAGGTATCAGCTGTACTGACATATCCACTTGTGTTGTTGAGTACAGTTTGTGAGGGTCAGCAGAGACACAGACCCAGTGCTGATCTATCAGATGCTGACAGAGGAGTGGGGCCTGGCTCCTCCACACTTGGTGGTGGCGCTGGTGGGAGGGGATGAGCTTGCTCAAATGAAGCCCTGGCTTAGGGACACTGTAAGAAAGGGACTGGTGAAGGCTGCACAGAGCACAGGTGAGCGTCACAGGTGGCCAAACAATTCCACACACTGGCTTCTTTGCTGACTGACAACAACGATAATGACTACAAAGCTACTTATAGAGAGATAAAGATATTAAGATACCTTTGTTCTTAAAACAGGGGTCATGAATTATTTATGTTTTGCTTTCTACTGTGAATAATGATTAAAATATGTACATTAATTTTAATGTTTGCAAGGAGAACCATCACTGAAGCCTTTATAGCCATAAACATATCTAATTAACATCAAGAGACCAGCTGCTTAGTAGAATCCAGAACACAACTCTTGGCTTTCATTCATTAAGCATTTATTTACCACTGTGACTAGTTTTTACCACAATATATCAAATGTAGCTGCTCCTCTATTTCCAGGTGCATGGATATTGACAAATGGCCTTCGTTTTGGCATCACCAAGCACTTAGGTCAGGCCGTAAGAGATCACTCATTGGCTAGCACCTCCTCCAAAATCCGTGTGGTAGCCATTGGCATTGCACCCTGGAACATGATCCACAACCGAGAAGCACTCCTCACAGCCAAGGTTTGAGTCCAAACTCTGATGCCAAAGTGGTTTAAAAAGAGGGTAAATCATTCACAGTAATATGTACCTGCTGTCCTCTGTCTCCTGGCATCTCAAGGTGGATGAGCCTGCTGTATATAAGCCACAAGACCTGCCGCATGGGTCAGTGTATTCCCTAGATAGTCATCACTCTCACTTTGTGCTGGTGGAGGAGGATCCAAGTCGACCTGGGGCCACGAGTGAAATGAGAGTGAAGCTGCTCAAGCACATTTCTCTTCAGCGCACTGGTTATGGAGGTAAAACTTGCTGAAATGCTAATGTCATGTGGGACCAAATTCACTGGGAATAGTATTAGAATTTCAAATTATTATTTTAAATGTTAAAATCTATTGTCAACTTTTTATCAAAATAAAGCCACAATAATTTAAACTTTAAACTGAAATTAAAAAACAATAAAAATACTAACCATGATGAATGCTCTTTGTGAGGGTGTAACACTTTAAATGTGTTAAATATTGTTAAATATATTATTATATGTGTTAGGTTAACAGTACAGAGACAGCAGCTGTCTAACATGAAGGTATCTTTAAAAACATCAGGTTTATATTTAATGACTTTTTCCTATAGCAGTAGTGAAGTAACTCAATATTGTTTTTTAAAACCACATATTTTCCTTTTTATAATTGATGTATCTCCACAACATTTCAGTGTTTGCTTTTCAGCTTTTTGACCAAAGTGTTGTGTTTTAACCCAGTGGGTCAAAGCCAGATATATGGTGGTCATCCTTGACTGTAACAAATGTACCAGACACTTCATTAAATATTTATGAAGCCAGTTTTTTAACATAAATAAAAAATACAGGTATAAATAGTTTTCCCTCTTATCTTTCCATCTTTTACCTTCCCTGTCTTATTTTCAAAACATTAAACAGGAATTTAGGTTTTGTCTTAAATCATATTTTCCTGTATTGAATTTTTTACTTGAATATACCCCTCATGACAATGGGCAATGTGATAAACAGAAACATTGGTCTTACACCTGACAGTAGTTGATATATAGTGTGGGGTAAGAAGTAAGGACTTGGGGCATTAGGAAGTTAACAACCGTCTCATGAATGTCTGTTTCAATGTTTAAAGGCGCAGGCAGTTTTGAGATCCCTGTTCTGTGTCTCTTGGTCCATGGGGAGCCGAGGATCCTGAAGGTGAGTTGGCAATGAGAAACTCTAGAAATTTAAAAAATATAAACTCAATGAGACTTTTTGTGTGCATGCTGTGACTTTGAACAACAGCCTGAGAATTTGGCTGAGATCACATTTAATTGTGCCACAGTTTGATACAGCGGGTCAGAGTCAGGCTGTGAAACAAATTCTTTCAGTATTTACAAAACGAATCTCTTTGACTAAAAACCCTTTGACTGAGAGCGATGTGTTTATTTCTAAAAATAAACCCGCAACTAAGGAGATTAGAGTTTCATGATGCAGCAATCAACACAATTCAGTGTTGATGTTCCGCAGAGAGAAATAAAAATGGTCTGTGAAGTTTATCATCATGTCTGAACACTGTGTCCTTGTCTGCAGAGGATGTATAAAGGCATTGGCAATTCAACACCATGGCTGATCCTGGCAGGCTCCGGGGGCGTGGCTGACATCCTTGTCATGCTGATGAATAGGGGTTCCTGGGATACAGACAGTGTTCATGAGCTACTGCTGGACACCTTTCCAAATGCCCACCACAGCACAGACATGAGTAACTGGGTCAGGCTGGTGAGAGCAATCCTCACGAGCACACACAGATGAACACATCACGAAATTTGAAGATCACCAGGAATGTGGGGCACAGCAGGGAAGCGTGTGGGAGTGATGCTGATGTTTCATCAGCATCTTTAAAAAGTACATGTGATGGCCTAATTAAGGATCTGACAAGGGGAGAAGATATCAATTACATATTTTTAAACTGGCACTCACAATAGACTGTGACTCTAGAAAAGTAAAAACAATGTATTGACAGGAAAAAAAACATAGACATTAGTCATTCAAATTATAGGTGTGTCATGTTGTGTGCCAATCAGATTCAGAAGATACTTGATCACGGGCATCTCCTCACAGTCCACGACCCCGAACAGGAAAGTTCTGAGCTGGACACAGTCATTCTTAAAGCTCTCGTCAAAGGTAAAGTACTTCTTATGGGAGATGTGTTATCCAGAAACCTGTTATTTTCTATCTGTGCAATAATAGCTGTAGCCATTTGAACAGTGAGTGAGAGCTGCAGATGGTCTAAACATTTCATGTTGACATCCTGTGCGTATGTGTGGGTGTGTGTGCATGTCTGTGTGCTTTCATGAGCAGCTTGTAAAAGCCAGAGTCAGGAGGCTCAGGACTTCCTGGATGAACTGAAGCTTGCTGTGGCCTGGAATAGAGTGGACATTGCAAAGAGTGACATCTTTAATGGTGATGTGGAGTGGAAGGTAAGACTCAGTCAGTCTGACTGGGTGAAGATTGTCACACTCATGATAAATTATACAATAACAAATTATGTATGTCTAAAGAGAACTGAACTTTTTCTTAGTCTTTTTTTTTTGTAACTGACAGGGAAACAACTATTGACTGGTGAATTTGTCAGGATCAGGCATGGGCAAACTACTGCCCCAGCCAGGCTTTGTTAATCCAGCCCACCACATCTGTCCAAATTATATTATTAAATAATTTTACTATCCCTTTTCCCTCCATGTCTACACTCCATCTATCCCCCGCCCTTTTCTATGCACTCCGACCCAAAAGCATGCAGGATTAGATTAATTAGAAACTATTGAGTGACCAAATAATAGGTTTGTGAAAGGTTTCTATTTTGTGGCCCAGTGAGAGAGTTGTCCATGGTGTAGCCCACCCTCTCCTCATGGCTGTTGGGACCCCTGCATGGCCATGAAAATTCTAAGCCTTAGAAGAAGGATGAATTAGGATTAATCCAACACAGCGTGTAGGTCTGGAGTTCCAGGTTGTGGTTAAATGACTTTTAACCACAACTTCGGCAGGGCCTCATCGTAAAGAACAAATGTTATTTCCTTTTTTGCTCTAATATAAATAAGAAAAGAATCTCCTATTTCAGGCATGTTAACTGTCATGTAATCAAATAAGTATATCATGTTCTAACACAATGTGTTATGTCAAGTTTAGCAACACAGTCCATTTATGATTGAATATTCACAGATAAAAGTACAACAAGGACTTCTATGCAACATTTACCAACATTCCCAGATTTATTACCAGACAGGAAAACATGAGTGCATACCTATGTGAGACAACAGCTGCTCTGTGAGTTATTGCCAGAAAGAAATATGATCTTGCAGGCGTGCGACCTTGAAGAAGTGATGATGGATGCGCTGATCAATGATAAACCAGACTTTGTGCGTCTCTTCGTTGACAACGGGGTCAACCTGGGCGAGTTCCTCACCTATGGCCGTCTGCAGGAGCTCTACCTGTCTGTGTCAGAGAAGAGCCTGCTCCACAATCTGCTCCTCAAAAAGTATGAGGAGAAACAGCTTCTGCTTGGAGCAGCCAGGACACCGGGTCCGCCTGGGCACCACCCACCAGAGCAGGGGAAACCACGCTTCACCCTTTATGAAGTTGCCAAAGTGCTTAAAGACTTTCTCCATGACTCCTGCAAAGGTTTTTACCAGAAAATTCCCACGGTGAGTGTGTGCTGACATAAAACTGCACATCACACAAGGTTAGAAACACCAAAGTGTAGCTACAGTGGTACAGAACAGTAAAACATCAGCTTATGATGCAAATGCTACATTCTGTAAACCTGCAGCATGTACTTTATTTTATTCTTCTGTGCACTCCAGGAGAAGCCAACAAAGGGCCGACTTTTCCACCACCAGAAAAATGTTGCTGAGTTGGAGGAGCGCTGTGAGTATCCGTGGAGGGATCTTTTCCTCTGGGCTGTTCTTCAGAACAGACAGCAAATGGCTAACTACTTCTGGGCTATGGTGAGTCTTTGTCAGCTCCTTTTGTCAGCTCATCTCCTGCATGCGGTGTCTGAGTGCTGTGTGGTTCAATCAATAAAAGTCCAAATGTGCCTAGCATTGGCAAACACGGATGAAACCTGGCTGAAGGGCAGCGCTGAATTATTCTCCACTAGTTTGTATGCTGAATTCAGTGTGACCAAGAGTGATGTGGTCCTGCACAGGTGCAGGTCAGTTATGTCATATGAAAATGCCACTCCAGATAAGAGGCGAGCAAATTGTGTACTTTTCATGAGCTGAGGCAAACACTAAAGCTATCTTATCTGTAAGGACATTATTCAAATGAAGGTCACAGCAGTTCTAGAGACAGCAGCGTGTTCCACGAAATTAAAAAGTGTATCCTGACATGTAATTAATGTTGTGTTATGAATTAAATGACTGCAGTTAGCGAGGAGAGCTGTTTGTTTTCCACATCTTGCCATTTACTTGTTGCCCTTCTCTCCACCAAGGAAATGCAGTATTCTACTTTCATGAGCGGTCACCTTGATATGTCAACCTCATGTCCTATTTCCAACATTAAAATTAGAATTATGGTAATTGCATTTCTCCACTGCAAATATGTTTTTTCAGCCACTTGGTATTCCCATTTAGACACTTTAGAATTACCCATCAGTAATTTAGTAGTTTGTAAGACTAAAAGAAAACACTTGTTCTCAATAAAATCCGAGCGCAGGAGGATTTTCCTCCCAGAAGTAGGTCCTCAGACCCTTGCAGCAGGTGCTTGTTACTTGTCTTGTCGATCAAAAAAAATAATTCAGTGAATAAAAAATCTTCTCCCAAGCGTGTGGATGCAGATCAGCTGCTGCTCTTAAACACATCAGCATGCAGACACAATAAGCTTTCTATCGCACACAGGATGGAGGGAATGGAGAAGGATTATGAGAAAATTGGCCCCTGGTCAAAGACAATTTAAAGCTCCTGCAACCTCATTTACAAACTCTACTGGCTGAAATAAATGCAAAACAATCTCAAATGTTTATTTAGGACAGTTGGTCATCAATTTTGGGGGATTTCGTTTTCTTTGTTTTCATACCTATTTTGCCAGCTGCAAAAAAGTTTTTTTTTTTTTTTTTTTTTTTTACAGTCTCACATCTTTCACATATGTCTTACTCACACATACAAACACATAAAATGTACTGAATTCTCCCTTACATTAGTTACATCGCATCTATCTGTCACTATAATGGTTTCTTGAGTTTGAAATGCTGTAAAATGCAGCAGGTCAGGAATATATATATTCATTAGCATTCATTCTTAGCATTGTTTCATGTCTTTTTAAGAGCTTCGACCTTATGGAGACCAACATGTTTCCTTTAATACAGAAGGTTTAGCAGGTTAACAATAGAAGGGAGAATGGAATTGCATTCGGGTTCAGATTGACAGAGGTGAAGACATTAACTGGTGTTGGTCAACATTAGGGAGGGAGTTGTGTTTAGGCTACACAATTTACAGCATAGAAGGGTTTTTTTCTGTCTCATTTATTCATGTCAAGCCACTCATTCCTTCTGAGGCCGCAGGGGGCTAAAGCCAATGATTGCAGCAATCAGGCGAGGGCCCAATAGGCCCTGTACAGTTCTTTAGTCCATCACAAAACCATATGTAGAGACAAACAACCATTGGCACCCTTCATTCTATTTATTATAGGAATACTGAATCCAGCAAAACAAAAACAAAAAAAAACAACTAAAGACCACATATACATAGGGGGGGTATTCATGTTTTAGATCACTGTGTAAGCAGTCAGTGAATTAATATTATCTATATTTAAAAAACACAGAGAAAGAAAGATTCTACTGGGGAGAATTCAGCAGTGTGGAGCTTTAATAAGACCAACAGCCCCTAAAGAAATGCATTAGTAGACATCTGACAGACTGACCTTTATATCTACGTGGTATACAGGTTTTTTTTAAAACACCAATATAACAATGTTTTTCATAACCTACACTGTGCAGTATATCATGTCAGTTATATGAAACTGAAGTTCACATGTTCGAATCAAATCTGAGAATATTTGACTGGAAGCTGCAGAGAAGCATTTAAGGCCAAGGACAGTTGCACATGAATTTAGTTTAGATGCAAAGGATGTGGCTGTAAATTTAAAAATGGATTTCTCAGACCCCTTTTTCATACCTCATTTCTTGGATTCAGCTGTTCTCTAATCCTTTAGGGCCCCGAGGCTGTGGCAGCAGCACTGGCAGGTTGTAAGATTTTGAAAGAGATGGCACGACTGGAGTCTGAGGCTGAGTCCGCTCGTAGTATGAAGGAAGCCAAATATGAGCAGTTTGCCCTCGGTGAGTAAATAAACCAGTGGACGACAACAGTTGACAATTTTATCAGTCGGGGTCGTCCAGTCGGAGTAAATCTTTTGCAGCAGATACATTTGCTCACCTTAATGGAAAAAAACCCTACATTTTTCAACAAACAGATTAGGCTGCAAGGGAGTAAAGTACAATCTAAATGTGTCTGTGTTTACAAACTCTGTGCAGACATGCTGACATTGTGTACTGTACCTGTGCTGTTGATAATGTTGCAGATGTCTTTGGAGAGTGCTACTCTAACAGTGAAGACAGGGCTTATGCTTTGTTAGTGAGGAGAACACAATGCTGGAGCAAATCAACTGTTCTTAATTTGGCAACTGAGGCAGATGCCAAGTCCTTTTTTGCCCATGATGGAGTACAGGTACCAATTACAGTGAATACATTCCAAAACATACAGTATATACAGCCCTTTCAGACATTTGCAAAACTTCAATTTTCAGTCCAACTGTTTTGACAATATGGTGCTATTAAAGAGAGGGACATGGTTGATTATGTCACCTTTGTGTTAAAATATCTCTGCCTTATTAAAAAGCCCCTTTCTGGAGACATGCCCGCTTATTTCAAAGTCATGCTTTATGCTACTCTTCACCAAACATCCCCCAAAAGACAACCATATCATTGTTATCATTAAAAAGTCTCTCACAGAGAGTTAATTAGCTTCACTGTCAGTGGGGAAGGTTAGTGAGGGGAAACCTCTTGACAGTAAAGTGATACTTAAATACAGAGCCCAAACACACACACACACACACACACACACACACACACATGCCAAATATACATTGCACATCACTTTACATGTTACAATTTGATGATAAAAATAACTAAAATACTATAGGAAACATATGTAGGGTTTCCATGGTTATATAGTAGTCGAGACAGTAATCATAGAAAATATATACAACACATGTACAGAGGTCGTTTGTGCCCTCTTGTGGTCAAATATGTCATGTTTTTTTGTTTGTTTGTTTTTTTTTTTTTTTCAAATTATGCTGGAAATAATCATTTTACTCACTCCAGGCTCTCCTGACAAAAATATGGTGGGGGGCGATGACAACTGACACAGCTATCTCCAAACTCGTGGTGTCGTTCTTCTGCCCAGCGCTCATTTGGACCAACCTCATAAAATTCAGGTGATCAGTTTTGTGCTGCACCCATATTTTATAAGCAGTAGTTATTTTAATGTACACCGAATTTCTGACACAGCGCTGTATTTCACAGTGATGAGGAACTGGATAATCGTAATGGTCAGAAGCAGTTTGTCGAGCTGGACAGTCTGGACACAGAGAAGGCTTTGCTGTTAACTGATGATGATGACCCTTTGTGAGTTTGCAGTCATTTTGGCCTGATGGCAGACCATAAAAGCTGGAGTTCATGCAGACATAATGATCAGAAAATTAAAAGACATCAATCATTTTAATGCCACATTTCCAGCAGCACAGAAATATCGACCAGGACTTTAAGGATCGGTTGTTTGTTTTTTTTCTCAGGGACTCTCCAGCTGGAGATCCAGCAACTCAGAGTTGTGCATCTGTCTGGTGGCGTTTCTTACTCAGACGATGGCGTCGATTCTGGAGCGCTCCTGTCACTGTGTTCCTTGGTAATGTCATCATGTACTTCGCCTTCCTCTGCCTCTTTACTTACGTGCTTCTGATAGACTTTCGCCCACCACCACCTGCTGGGCCCGGACTCCCAGAGATAATACTCTACTTCTGGGTCTTTACCTTAGTGCTGGAAGAACTTCGTCAGGTGACTATCAAAATGCACAGATCCTATTTTCTGTTTCTAGCAAATACAGCTTTTCAGTATTCAATGTTTTTACACTCTGCCCAGTGTCACACTTATGCTTCAGTTTTCCTATTGCAACGTTACAGGTCAAAAGGATGTGATATGAAAAAAATAAAACTTCTTCTTGTTGCTACTATAGTCTTAAGCATCCACAAGTCTTTCACCTTGATTCATGATCCTTACACCTGGGTTTCTCACAGTGAGACAGGTTAGACAAACATGATCCCTTTTCCAATGATGCCTCTAAAACATCCTCCCAAGGGTTCGACTGCCCCAGATTAGCTGGGCCTTTTTCTTTTTGTCCTTAACTCTCTTTTTGCACTGTGCATCTCAGGAATTCCCTGAGCTGAACAGAACTGTGGCACAGGTTTCCCAAAAAAGAACCACAATGCCTGCGGCAGCACTGGCAAACTACCAAGCCCAGCAGGGACGCTGGGGCTTCAAACAGATGGCTCTGGGGTGTAGTTGAAAATTAATGGAAGGAAAGCTAGGGTGTTGACAACCAACCATCCAAAAAACACCACTGTCAGGAGTGTTTGTAGGATAAGTGAACGCGCCTCCTTAGGTGATACGGCTAACTTAACACAAGCAAGCACTACTTACTTAGTGCTACTTGGTACTGGTTTCATTAAGCTTAACAAGGCAGTCTTATACATATAACCCCGGAATTCCTTTTAGTAAATGTGTTGTCTCCAACAAATCACGCTTTTTAAAATAAGCTTTTTAAAAAAAATAGACTATAGTATGACTAAAAAGACATTGCTAAGGTTGAGGTCAACTTTAGATCAACCATAGTAGAATAGTATAGTCTAGTAGTGTATTTTAGGATGCTGTAGGCATCTACTAAAGCAGCAGGTCTGTGTTGCTGCTGTATCCCGGCCTGGACAGGTGTGTCTTGATAGAGTTTCAGTGTATGACCATGCAAAGGGCATTTTAACATGACTAAAATATCATCAGTCTCCAGGGAATGAAGTGGAAGCGAGACAATGATATAGTAGCTGGAAGATTTGTTTACCCTTGTTTGCCTACGAAAATTCAGAAATTATGGAATTATAGAATAAATGCACGTTAAACTGAATACATAACCTTTAAAATGAACAGGACAAACATCTTCCATGTTGCAAAGAGGCGGACGCAGGTTTTTTTGAATATTCACAAGGACAAAACTATAATCACTTTACAGGATCTGAAGAAACTTTGCATAAATAACATTGATACAAAAGAAAACATTGTTTTTAAATAACTTTCAGCCAATATGAGCCCAGAAGTAAATGGTTCCTCATATTGTTTTTGTTTTTTGTTTGTTTGTTTGTTTTGAAACCCCTAACTTTTATTTTTCATATAAAAGTGAAGATAACAATCATTTCTAAACTCCCCACAACAGAGTTTTTTCACAGACGAAGAGATGAACATCTTGAAAAAGTTCAAACTGTACGTTGAGGACAACTGGAACAAGTGTGACATGGTTGCCATCCTCCTCTTTGTTGTCGGGGTTTCGTGCAGGTAGTTTATAGTAAATAACCATGATGGTTAGCCTTTGTCTTTGTAGCCTCCACACTTGTTTTTTACTGATGTAGGCATGTATATAAGTGAGTCAAATTTTTAAATGTTTTTTTTTTTAATTTTGCAGAATGGCTGATGATACGTACGAGGCAGGAAGAACAGTACTGGCCATAGACTTTATGGTTTTTACATTACGGCTGATCCATATCTTTGCTATTCACAAACAGCTTGGACCTAAAATTATAATTGTGGAAAGAATGGTAAATAAGGCAAAATACCAATTTTTCTCTTAATAGCTAGTGCAAGCCTAAAGCCTCTGCGTAAACAACTCTCTGCTTCACAGATGAAGGACGTGTTCTTCTTCCTGTTTTTCCTGAGTGTTTGGATGATTGCGTATGGTGTTGCCACCCAGGCTCTGCTCCACCCCAATGACCCCAGGATTGACTGGGTGTTCCGCAGGGCACTGTACCGCCCCTACTTGCACATTTTTGGCCAGATTCCTCTGGAGGAAATAGATGGTAAATTTCACTGGATAACACTGAATATGCTGCAGCTCTGAAATATTTGTCTCACTCTGAGGGAGCACATGATGGATGACACCCAATGACTGATGGGTTTTTGTTGATCTGAAAGTAATGGCTCCAGACATTAATTTTCCTCTTCTGTCATAAACGGAGCACAGCTGCTCGCATGCCGGAAATAAACTGCACAAATGACTCTGAGGAGATTATCGCAGGCTTGAGGCCACCGTGTCCCAACATCTATGCGAACTGGCTGGTCATCCTACTGCTGGTCATCTTCCTCTTGGTCACTAATGTCCTTCTGCTTAACCTGTTAATTGCCATGTTCAGGTTTGTTTTGTAATATTTTTCTTTTGATTTGGTAAAATCAAATGCCTCAGGTTGGATTCACAGTTGTCTTTTGTTGTTGACATTTACAGCTACACATTCCAGGTAGTGCAGGGTAACACAGACATCTTTTGGAAGTTCCAGAGATACAACCTGATTGTGGAATACCACAGCCGCCCAGCACTGGCTCCACCCTTTATCATCATCAGCCACCTCTCTCAGCTCTTCCTCAGCCTGGTCAAACAGCCTGAGTCCAAGCAAGAGCATCTGGGTATTAAGGCTCAAATTGATTTTTGAGTTTATTTTCATTAGCGATGATTCAATTTTCTCCCTAATTTCAAGCAGAAGAAACATGTGGCCTGGCTTATCTGGCTGAGTTAAAATGGAACAGAAATAGCCTTTCTTTGATTAATTGTAATTTTTGCCAGAGAGAGAATTGCCAGTAGGCCTGGACCAGAGGCTGATAACATGGGAGACAGTGCAGGTGGAGAACTATCTAGCCAAATTGGAGCGACAGCACTGGGAGAGCAGCGAGGAAAGACTCAAGAGTACCTCATCCAAGTAAACACACTTTTTATTTTATAAAACCCCATGTATTCTGATGCAGTGCATTCACAACGTTACTTGATGTCTTTAGTGGGGCTTATTTTTGGAGCATTTATACCACCTGCTGGTCAGAAAGATTATTGCAGCATTGTTTAGCTTTGAACTATTCTGTTTATGAATCAAGGGTGCAGAGCTTGTTGAAGATCGTGGCTGGTTTCAAGGATCAGGAGAAAAGACTGACTTCCATGGAGGAGCAGGTAAAACGGAGATTTTAAGATTATGTATTTTTAAGATTATGAAACTTTTATGAGCCTGATGTATATGCAATATGTGTGTATTAGGTGAAACTGACATGTCCTATTTCTTAATGACTGGTCTTTAGGTTCGATACTGTGGGGAGGTGTTGTCCTGGATGGCAGAGTGCTTTGCTCTGAGCACACTGAGGTGTGGGAAAGCTGCTCCAAATGTTCCATGTGAGTCAAAAAACTATGAAAATCTAGGCAAAACTCTACTCGTGATGCTACTGTTGATTAATTTTGTATCCTATTGGAATGAATTACAGTGTCTCTAACTGGCTACAAAGCTTGCAGCTCCAAAGATGCATCGCCACATCAGACAGAGAAAGAAGTCAAACAGGACAGAAAAGAAGACAGGTCAGGTCATCAAGGTTATGGAGCCAACAAAAAGTTTCCTTACATTGATGAATAACAATGACAGCAGTAGCTGGTAACAAACAAGCATGTAGGTGATTGACGTAAGACTATTTTCTCATGTTGTGTAAATGGAGAAAAATATTAACATTTGGTTTATTTGGATTTTAAGAAAATTTTTGGTAGGAAACGTTTAAAGTTTCTACTTCATGGAGCAAATAGCAAAAATCAGATACAGATCAGGTTTGATCTAAAAGAACATAGATGACTGTAGTAAACATTTGTTTGTACACTAGTGTGTGATTTTCAAATAGCATAATTTAAATATATGTCCTAACTGTTTGGGTTGGCAAATATGAAAAACTATATGTGAGGAAAGTCATTAAATGAATCACGTGACACCAGCATGTTTATGTTTCCTTCATGACAAACAGGAATAAAGTTTTTTTTAAATTGCTAAATCCATTTTTAGATGATGTGCAAATTTTACTGCAGTGCAACTTGGAATGTATTGGTGAAAATATTGACAATCAGATGAAAGATGTCACAGTCAAAATAAAAAATGAGAATTTATTTTTAGAGTAAAGGCACAAATATGAAGGTCATTTGTGGAGAGACAAACATAATATGAGAGGCACCACACAAGACATGTCAGCTATGATATGTGACAAAAATCTTTCAGGTTGAGCAAATCTTACACTGATGAAGTCACATCACCCTGAAACCAACCTGTCATTTCTTATACATATATATATATATCCTACAGACGTGTTTAAAAACAATGGATCAATAGGTCCAACAAATTAACTGAGGGAATTCCATTTAAAATGCACTTTGTGAATGTTGCTGTATTCATCGCTCTATGAATACGGAGTAACACTGTTACTAGGGCAAATTTCTCTTTGTTAGTTTTTTTTCTTAGAAGGGCTGATATCCAAAACTGTCAGTGTAAAAAAAGGGCTCATTAGAGAAGACATTTAAAAGAATAGGACAAATAGGGGGAAAGTTGCTAATCAAGTATACTTGAAGTGATTAGTCAGAAATTAGGCTGTTCACAAAAGAAAATATTTAGTGAAAGTCTCTTCTCTCCACAGTATTTTTAGCTATTGATCTTGAGCAGAGTAAAAAACTCTAATTGTGCAAATTGTATGGTAGGGGTGTGTGCATATGAAATAATAGTTAAAATTATTTTATTTTATTATTGTAAATTATTACTGTGTATATATAGACATAATAAAATAGACAAATATAAAGAAACATTTTTGCTCGACTATACAAAATCTCAAATCATATTTGTTTGTCTACTAATAAAAAGTAACAGCAGTAAAGGAACATTGATATATGTGAGTTACATTTCTGTCAGTGTAATAATTATCTATTCATGTTTGACATTAGTCTTTTGAAAATGAGGCTTCGAGGCCTCTTGCCTGGACCACAGGTGCCTCGCGATGAGGCATGCTGTCAAACCGCGGCGTAACGTCACAGCGGATCAGGAGGGTGTCGTCTTTGACAAAGGTTTTCTGACTTAGCTGCTGTAGGTGCATAAAGGTAACATAGCCAAATCCTTTAGGGTTGCGTTGCATGGAGGGCTTCTGAAACGCTTGCAGATCGGGTTTGGTTTCCATCACCTCCATGTGATGCTGACCCTCAGGTCCCTGGTCTAGGATGGCAAGCCTGATGGTGCCTTGAAAAGGCCAAGTTAACTGCCCGTCAAAAGATCCTTGCATTGTGTGAACAAAGAGGGAAATGAAGTTGGAGCAGCGAAGGGCGTTGGGAGCCTGAAGATGTAAACGCAAGCACAGCTTATAGCCTGGACAGCCTGTGTAGAAGCCTGGGCTGTGCTCTACCACGGGCAGTCCTGCTTCTTGGTTCCGCAGGAGAGCAGAAAAACCTTTAAGACGCCAGATAAAAATACCACGACACTGCTGGGCCTCCAGCTCCTTAACAGTTTCTTCTAGCACCACCACCCTTCGCCTAAGCTCTGCTAATTGACCAGCCTGTGAAAAAACAGGGCCAATCTTTTAGAGTTCAGAGGATGTTGAAATTGCCTTAAACAACTAAGGCATTATAACTTTAACTCCTATAAGCAGATAGGAGAAATATTGTGACACATTGTTCCCTTTATGGTCCCTTCATATCTGTTTTGCGCAGTCTAACAGAAACAATCTTATGTGTATTTTGCATACATTCCAAACACCTGTGATCTATTGGTAAGAGTATCAGGCTTGTTATCACAGGATCACAGGTAGACATCCTGCCTTTGGTGGGACATGTTAAAAAGTGATTCTATTATAGATACCCCCCCACACACACACACACACACACAACACATCTCAGCTTGTACAAAACTCAAATTCAATTAATTTCCATAAATAAAGAAAATAAATAAATTGAAATGTATTGCTCTTGTGTTTCTACCAGAAGTAACCATCAAACTTAGTATGTTGCTCTATTAAGAGCCAGCAAAATTCGTTCTATTACTTTAAGTTTCATTTATTTAGATAGAACAGCAAGGCATATGATTCACATACTAAATGGATAATTATAAAAGTTTATCAACATCAGCGAAGTTATTGGCCTATTTTTACACCTGGTCATTAAAATAACACCCACCTGTGTTTCTTTATAAATAGTTAGCTCACGAATTTGGTGGTCCTGCTTCACCAATCGTGCATCCATCTCTCTGAGCTGCTGCATTCCCTCACTGGGCTGAGAAGGAGCACAGTTGCTGCTGCCGTTACCCCCTACAGGTCTTCGGGCCCCGCTGGAGTTACGTTCTGTTGCTGCAGCTTCTTGGTCATCACAAGAAGCAGCAGGTCCATGTGCTCTCAGAGATTTAGATGTGGTACCATTGAGGCTGAGGCCACGCAGGAACTCTGCCATGTACCACATATGCATCTGTGTGAACTCCTGCATGTGCTGAGCCAAGTTATGACGCTGCATCTGCAAAGAGAAGCCAACAGAGTCTGCTCATTTTGTGCAGATAATGGATATTTGTAACTCAAAGAAACAACTAAAATGAATTACCTACCTGTTCTTTACATCCAAAAGTGCTAAAGTTACAGGCTATGGGTGCTTTGGGGCAATCTGTATCACAGTGAGATTCCATCTGCAAACCAAAGTATAAGTTTTACCTAATTACTTATTAAGTAAAGTAATAAGTAAGTTGCACCTTTAAATATACATAATATAAAAAAAATCATCTGAAGAGGTAAAAAAATCCCAACTAAGTGTAAACAGAGTTGGTAATATGAACAAGACTATTGTGTAAGTGTAATTGTTTTAAGGTTAGCTTACTCAAAAACTTACCTGATCTCTGATGAGCTCCATCCCACAGTATTGACACTTTACATTGGCAAAGGGACACTGCTGCTCATGAAGCTAGAGGAACAACCACAGCATAAATAGAACAACTTTAACATTCTTACACTCCTATGGAAAGTGGCTTTTTGAATGTAATTCAAAAGTTATTTAGAAATAGGCAAGCAGAAAACTTTCAAGAATGTCTAAAATGTACCTCTTTCTCCTCATAAACAAAACATGCTACACAGTCTGGACATGAAACTGGTCTTCTAGCACACTCTACAGTTGTGTGTTCTTCTAGTCTGCTCTTCCTGACAGACTGCTGGCACTGTGGGCAAGAGGCTGTGGCAAATTCACACACCATCAGATGATTCTGCAGGGACCACAAAACAATAAAAGTATGTTATAAGATGTACTAGGACATGACATTATGTTTCTTAAAGTAATACAATGGTTAATTTGTTTTCTTCAAATAAGATAATGTTATCAAAGGAGGCTCTTAAAATTAGTTTGGCTGTGAAACTTGCAAAATCACAATAGTTTGTCTCAATTATTAGTCATAAGTTCTGACCTCCAAATGCCTTAGCTCCATTTTTTCAACACATCCAGAGTTTGGACAGCAAACTGTTAGTGAGAGAATCTCCCTTTTAGCAAAGTTATCTGGAAACAGCTGATCTTCTGACAAGATTACATTGTCCACTGGGCATCTTTGTCCTGTATCACTGTATGGAAAAAATGCAATTATGTTAGCCAATTTAAAGAAAAACCATTAAGCCAAAGAAATGGTATTTCATTATGTAAGTGGGAGGCAATTCTTTCTGATGTAGTCCTGATGTAGTCCAATTAAAGTGAGAAATGGGACTTCGGGAATTAAATGGTAACATACCGAATGGACTTCTCTATGCAGTTCTTGCAAAAGCGATGACCACATGGAGTTTGAACTGCATTCCTCAAAGCCATGAGGCAGATGGGGCACTCATATTTACTCTCTAGGGGTGGGTCAAACTCTACATCATAGCCCTGGAGAGGGGCGGGTGTCTGAAGACTACTAGAGGTGCTGCTTAGTAAGGTTACAGAGCCTTCAGATGGGCTGAGAAGGGATTCTCGCTCTTGTTCCAGCATTGCCAAAGCACAATTGGACAGCTCTCCACCAACAGCTCCTTCAACACTGTCTTCTTCCAGACTTCTCTTTTTGCTTTCAAAGCTAGCCATCTGTTGAGGTGACAAAAAGACTCATATAAATAACTGATGTAAGCAAACACACTGGGTAATAGCATATTGTTAAAATATAACGATAAACTAAATGCTTGCTGCGCTAATTCCCAAAAAATAAAAGTGTAAATTATGAATCCATTTAGTTTATTTTAACAAAAACAAAAACAAAAAAAACAACAACATAGTGATGGAGTGGTAAATCAGGAGGCTTCAAAGATTATTTTATTTTACTCCAAATATTTTACATCTACAGAGTCATATGGTACAACTAAACATATGGCACAAAATATTAAAACCATAAAATAACAAATATTTCATAATTTTGTAAGCGTCCAGAAAATAACATTTTTTGACACATTGAGAAAGTGTACATCCCAATGGAGTTTAAATGCAGGAATCGATTAAGGGTTAAAAAAAAGACTTATTTGTGAAAAATGATTGTGTGTTTAAAAGAATAACAGCCATTTTATCAACTGCATTGCCGTATATGTTTTGGGATTAAGTTGTAGTACGTACTATACCATTTTGTAGTTTGTATTTAAAACCTAATTGAACTTACTAATAAAACACGTCGTTACCACAGAACAGAGTTATTTAAAAGAACGTTGTTACTTGAAAGCTGCGTGTGAGGGTATGAGTGTGTGTATGTGCAAAAACCACTTCTTTAATCTCTACGAGTTTAGCTTGTTTCAAATGAGTATGTTAATAGAGGAGTCATGCTACTCGTTGCGGAACTGCAACTTCGAGCCTGCGTTCAGTGTTAGGAAAGGTAAAGAAAAACACGAACAACACACATGATACTCATGTTTATAACAGCAAACACTACTGAACTGAAATAAATGTCCGTCAGCCGAAAACGCATAAAATATTTTTGAAATATACTCACCATTACCATGGACCTTGTAGAATTTTGCGTTTCTTCTGAATTTCCTGTTTTTTATATTCCCCAAACGTCACCCGAGATTTTCTTCTCTTGTTTTGGTTGTCATTCACAGCGCCACTGTTCGACGGGAGGGCGGTTTTGCAGCATGTGCAACACAGTAAAAAAAAGAAGACAGAAAGATGGCGGTCACTAAAAAAATCTGTCCTCAGTCTTTGCCTTGCCGTGTCAACTGTCCACGAAAGCCGTGTTTTCAAGGGAGACTCTTCATCCTCCTCTGCGTGCTTATAGTGGACTCCGGAGGAGCTACGACTCACTGGGTTGTCACAGAGGATGGAAAAATCCAACAACAAGTATGTCAGTTCGCTTGCTCATTGCACTGCTAACGCTTACCTTCAGTAGCTAGCTTGTGTGGGTAACTATTACTGATGACCCCCTGTTACTGTCTGTTTGTGAAATAATAGTAATATTAACATTTTATATAATTTTAATTTAAGTGGTAAATGAACATTTACGAGAGGCATTTTTAGCTTTGGCCATATCACAAAAAGGCGAAAGTGACATTAAGATTTGTTTTGCTAACTCAGCAGTCATCGTATAACTGACGTTATCATTTACAATCAACATGACATAAAAACTGTTACAGACCGAAGTCTGTGTTGTTGATCGATTATAAACATTCCCGGGTTTACGTTATGTTGTGTCAACTGTTAACTGCCTGACAAGCTGCCACCATATTTACGTAAGGGCTGTGATAATGTTAATGGGACAAATACTGGAGCTCCTTAGAACATTAGCTTTTACAAGACATTTATATTATTGGAGACCATAAATCCCAAGTGTTTTTCCTCTTTAAATGATTGTATTTTATTCAAGATTGGTATTTAAGTCACTTGAAATATTGCTATTGCGCATTTGCACTAAAAACAACCCGAGTCCAGTCAAAGTGCTTTACAACGTCAGCGGAGGTGTCGATAGTAATAATAACAAGATGAGACAGGAAGGTCGAAACAAACATTAACGAAGACGAGAGGGAAGGACGTGATTAAAGCAAATCATTCACAGGGACAAACATTTTAAACACCAGGTATTACACACAAAGGTAATTTTAAAATGTTTACAATGGTAATCAATTTCTAACTGTATTTGTTATTAAAAATATTAACTATACAGCACATTTGAAGAGGTTAAAGCTTCGTGCAGAAAGTGTGATACATTTATATATACTATATATATATATATATATGGTTTAAAAATGCAATGCAGAAAACGTGTTTAGTTTACTTAAACAAAGTATGGTAATTTTATGTAATATTAATGGCTATAAGTTATATTTGTTGTCCTACATGTCAGTCTTTCATTCACTTTTCTTCATTACAGGTTGACTCTCCTTTAAACCTAAAGCATCCACATGATGTTGTGATCTTCATGAGACAAGAGACGCGTGTTAACTACCTCAAAAAGCTGGAGGTTTGTAGATTTAACCTTGTAATTTTGCAACGAGGGTTAAAAATCTGTGTTTTTAACCAGGAAATCAAATTTAAAAAATAATAGTATGAATGCCTGTCACATCACCCACCCATTTTTTTATTATTATTTTGATTTGTATAATTTCCTATTTCTTTGTTCTCCACATCGAATGCACATTAAATGCAAAAAAAAAATAAAAAATACATGGCATTTTTATAGGTATATGGTTAACTGGAGTGCAGTAACTTGTTGTTATGTTTTGCTTGTTCTTGACTCTATATCGAACAGAAACAGCTTGTGGCACAGAAAATTCACATAGAGGAGAATGAGGACAGAGACACAGGGCTGGAGCAGAGACACTACAAAGAAGACACAGACTGTGTCATGGCTAAGGTTCCCCTGGGTGACCTGGACTTATATGACGGCACTTATATCTCATTAGAAGGAAAAGATATCAGGTAAATTAACTTTATACTCATTTAGTGCATTTTTATCTGTACCTTGCCAAATCCTGAAGAACTACTTGTTTACTTGCTTGTTATACCTATTATGACAGTTTTGTGTTTTTTCTCCTTTTAGTCCTGAAAACTATGTGGATTCCAGGTCAACTCTGCCTGTTGATCTAGAAAGACCTGAATGTGCAAAAGTGTTTGAACTACCTTTTAGTATCCATGCTTTCCAGCACCTCAGGGTGAGTACATAAATGCTGAAAATCCATTGTTGCTTATAACACTTTTTTTGTAGTGTAATTAGTCAAACCTATCTGCAAATAGCTGTGTTGTAATTAAGTTATTCTCTTAAGAAAATTGCCCTGTTCTGTTGCTGCGTCAGTTAGCAGTCGCTCCCTATGGAGATCTGCATGTTCTCTCCAATATGTTGACTCTGGGTTCTTCTGGGCTACTTCCTACAGACCAAAAACATTCAGTTGTATTTTTTTTAATCAAAACATTAGCTTACTCTCTAAACTTTACTACTTGCAGTTTCTTCTCACACTCCAGCTGGATGTGTTTTGACCTGTGTTTTTATGCCCATCTGCCATTGAACTGTCTAATGTCAACATTTGAAATGAAGGTCATTTAGCATTCGTTGAAAGTTTCTGGTGTTTAAAAATATATCAAATTAATATTTTTTCTGACTTTTATCTTCAGGCTGCATTGAAATCCAAAACATTTTTGTAAGAGAATTTACCAAATGAGAAAAAATTATAACATTTAAATCTATTTGTCTAAATAAGAAATCTATGAATAACTTGCCGAGTTGCATTCACTCATCACATTGTAGTAACAATGCTACTACAGATATTCATGCCTATTACTGTGTACCTAATCAAATATTTAACAAAATTTAAAATTGTGGACTAATCTTCTGGTCGAGTTCCAATTAATTGTTTTTTGATAACTTTCTTCTCCAGGGTGTGCAGGAACAGGTTAATCTAACCTCCCCACTTCTTTCTAAAGAAGATCCCATTTTTTTGGCATTGTCTCATAAACTGGGCCGAACCGTTGATGAGATTGGCCATCGCATTCATCAAGGCCTACTAAGGGTAAGTCTGCAGTACAAACAGTCAAGAAAGTGCAGAATCAATAAAGATGTTGATGTTTGTTCCTGCCACATCATCTAATCTAAAACTTTATGGCAGACTTTGACAGTCTGTGCATCTTCATGTCTGTGCATCACCAAAAACTCTGCAGTGGAGATTCTACAGTTATGACCTAATGCATTTCTTTGTGCCTTATTCTCTTACATTTCCGTATCTCAACATAAAACACAGCAAGGTTTTGAATGATGCATTTGAAGTGTTATCTGGGTACTTGAAGTACGATCAATTCAGGAAAAATCGTAGAAAGTGTATTGATGTCTCCATCATTTCCAGAACTCATCATCCTGGGTGCTGTACAACATGGCCTCATTTTACTGGCGTATGAAGAATGAGCCTCAGAGGGCAGTGGACTGTGTGGCGCGTGCTCTGCATTTCTCTCCCAGGTACCATCGCAGTTGCCTACCAGCACATTGCTTTAGTACACCGCTATGTATCACACACCCAGTGTTTTACAGGTGTTCTTATTCTCACGCTGTGTGTTTTCTTCAATAGGCAACACAAGGATGTGGCTTTGGTCAACCTGGCCAACATCCTGCACAGAGCCCATTTCTCAGCAGATGCTGCTATTCTCGCCCATGCTGCCTTGGACCTCACCTCTGATCTTTTTACCAGCCACTACACCTTAGGCAATATTTATGCTGTAAGATAAAAAAATATTTCATACAAACAACTGTTACTTATATTTAAGATATTTATCTATATTTTTATATTTAGTATGTAATATATGTTTCAATTTGGCACCAATGTCTACATAGAATAGAATAGACTCTTTTATCTTTGTCACAAACAACATGACAGTGCCACAGACTTAGATTGCACTAGCTTTCAAGTAGTAACAGCAAACTTCACAGGAAATTGGTATGGTATGTGTTTATGGCACACCTGAACAAAAACATACATGGATATAACAACAAGCAACAACTAGTATATGCGTTTTGTGCTGCTGGATCTTATCCAGTATCCAGTGAGTAGCTTAAAAAAGCGTAAAAAAACAAGTGCAAAAAACCAAAAAATACTCACGTAGGCAATTTATTGCATTACTGCATTTAATCACATGCATTGTTAATCAGTTGTTAAACAGTTCAAGAAAATTACTCTAATCACTACTTTTTTTAATTACTAAATTTCTACTAAAAACTCAAATCTGCATAAAGATCTACCCTTCATGTAATTTTTGCTCTGTTAAAGCTTTACTTACCAACTGGTTACTGTATGATCCACCAGTGCGAAATGGGAGTTTAGGGGGTCCTCAACTCATGTCGGAATTTTCATGTACTGTACATAAGTACCTGTGTTACCAGTTCTTGTGCAAAATTTGTTTCAATTTGTTTTTACAGTCTTTAGACTTTGTTCAGGTGTGTTTAACAATAATAGGTGATTGTTGATTGTACCTACCGTCTTACGTATAAATGACACTAACACAACTCATCTGCTGTAATCCAACCAGATGCTTGGGGAATACAACCATTCAGTGCTCTGTTATGAGCAGGCTCTTCAGGCCCGGCCAGGCTTTGAGCAGGCCATGAGGAGGAAGCATGCTGTGCTCTGTCAGCAGAAGCTGGAACAGAGGCTGGAAGCCCAGCACAGGTAGGCAGATTTGATGAAGTGGGTTGTACTCAAGAATGAAAGTGTATTTGTTATTCATTTTTCGATTTTTGTATGTTCTTAGATCCTTGCAGAGGACTTTGAATGAGCTGAAGGAATACCAGAAGCAGCATGACCACTACCTTCGCCAGCAAGAGGCACTGGACAAACATAAGCTGCTCCAGGAAGAGCAGATCCTGCGCAATATAATCCATGAGACCCAAATGGCTAAAGAAGCCCAACTTGGTAGGATGACATGCATAAAAACAAAAACCAAGTAGTAAATTAGATCAGTAGATTTGCCAAAACATTTTTGACCATAAGAATTCTTGCCCATAAGGACAAAGGTGCAGATAGATCAATCTTGATCTCTGTCCTTAACACATTTTATATTTGTTTATTTTTCTAAGTTTTATTTTGAAAATGTGGTGAGGTAAACATTTGGTTTAAAAAAGTTTGGGAGTAATGCCATAACAGGTGAATAAGATGAAATAGAATTAAGAATTGATTAGACCAGCTGTTCCCAAACCTTTTTGCCCTTGCACCACCTTCTTTATTCCAGCCAAGTTGATGCATTCGTAATTACTCACACCTTTGAAAAATCCTAAACAAAACACAGGAATCTTTCAAAATAATCATGTTCATATAACTAGAACACATGCACATATATTCAACCTGCATTTATTTATTAATTAAAAGTTTAGCTTTTGAAATTTAATGAAATGTTACACAAATGTATTGTGTGGAAAAATCCCACTTAAAAAAACACTCAAAAGGCCATAACATTTTTTATCTTGCACACCCCCTAGTAAATCCCTGGATTGGAGTAACTGAGGAGGAAAGATTGTGCTTTATTGTCATTACGTTTATTTAACATGAAATGCAAAAGTAAATGACATGTCGTTGAGATTAATCTATGATCTAAACAAATAGTGATACATTCTTTACTTGTCTGAGTATATATTTGTGTCAACTGGCTCTAGGGAACCATCAGATGTGTCGGCTGGGTCAGCAGCAGCGCAGCCTATTTTGCCCTTTTGACCTACCTGTCCGCTATCACCGGGGAGACTTGTTTGAACATGTCCACTATGTCCAAGTAAGCATTTATACCTTTCTCATTTTGGATCTAAAAAAAACAAGAAGTGATTATTGTTCAAACCATGTAATCCCTATTTTTCCAAAAAAGAACACTTAACTTAAGGTGCTTCTTTCACAGTTGTTTTTTTGTTTGTTTTGTTTTGTTTTTTTGATAGTTTGGGGAGGAGGTGTCAGTAGCATCCAGCGTCTCACTTGTATCTGAGCGTAACACTAATCAGACGGTAGCAATTCCTGAGCTCCATCCCTCTGTCTCTGGGGACCAAGACCCTGCTGCTGCCCTGTGGAGCAGTCATCAGGACAACACACAGGCAAGATCAGAGATATGCATTCACATTACCTTTTGTGAAATACTGCATTAAATAATATTGAAACTAAATGACCAAAAGGCACTTGATGACACTCAGCAAATGCAAAATGACTAGTTCTTTTCTACATGTAGCTTGTGGTAGATGAAGAAAAAAATGCTATTTTTTTTTTTATTCATCTGTGTGCATGTCTAGCCTACCTCTGTTCTCTAGATCATGCTCTTAACAGTTTTCGGTAGGATAGAATTTCCTGATGATATACTTTTGCTTTAGGACATACAGCGGATGTTGTGGCCTCAGAGGACCGACTGTGCCCAAGAGTACCCAAGTGTTCCTCCTCCACACCTGCTTCCAACTTACCACCTTCCACCTGAGGCTCAGACTCTCAGGTCAGTGTTTATAACCGCATGAGAAAATCATGATAGTTTCTGTTAGCTGCTTAGCTTTGTTCTGGGACAATTAACCTAAAAGTTTTATATGAATCAAAGAAATGAGTCAAACAAGAATTATTTATAGTCCTTACGTTTGCAAGCAACAAATAAAATTAATATAGTCACTTTCAACATTGATGTTAATTTAACAAAAGGTGGGAGGTGTGAATGTCATCACATCTGTCTTAATCTTCTGTATATTCAGAATCAGATCTTTTTATTTATGTTTGTCAACGTTGCACTTCACTGAGCCATTTAGTGTGTGTTACCAAAACTCTTACGATGTCAGCTGTTGTTTGTTCAGCCCTTTGGCGTCACTCCTCTACGGGAACAGCGATCCGTCTCAGACGGTGGCTGTGCCAGACTGTGGGCCCGTCCCTCAGCCATATCCAGCCCTCCTGCCAGGCTCACTGGACTGGTCGCTGGAGGAAAAGAGGTTGCCGGATCCATTTGCCTCCCAGGTGAATGTCCTTAAAATAGGAAAATGACCCACTCAATGTGTTGTTGTTTGCCGTGCTTTGTCTGTAATATCTTTTATTTGAGTAACTTATCAAAAGACAAAACATTTCTACTAAAAGCATTTTGTTAAGAGTATGCGTGTGGGAGATTGCAGTGTTTGTGGTATAAAAGGTTATCACTGTTTTTTGTGTAAATATGATGCCCGCAGCAAACCTGTTTATGTTTACAGATCTTGCACTTACGCAGTGGAGGATGGACACTTGAACAAACTGGCTCCAGATTGGCAGAAGCTATGAAGCAGGTACAATGTGCCATCACTCTTTTAAGGGGCAGTTGCAGGTTTGAATCCACCAGCTGCCAAGTTACCACTGAGGTGCTCTGAGCATGGCACTGTCCCCACACACTGCTCCCCGGGCAGATTAAAGCTGCCCACTGTTCACTTTGGTGATGGGTTAAAAGCAGAGGTCACAGTTCGTGTGCAGTGGTGTGTGTCACAATGACAAGGAGTTCACTTTCCTTTCCTTTCATTTCCTTTTAACATGTTATTAGTGATGTACTCCCTCTACTGAAAATTTAAATCTGAGTTTCAGTTTCAGTGCTGTCACAGTTCTCACTCAAACTTGACAATCACTTGGATGAAGTCCTTTTTCACAGTCACAGCTAACAGACTCTGTTTGTATACACAGGCCACTATACCCCGCTGGCAGATCCACAATGAGGCAGCTCTATTCTGGCGAGCCAAAGGCAATGGCAGCCAAGCCCTACAGTGTATGCGCCAGGTGTTGAACTCGGTTCCACCTTCCCAGCGTCACTTGCCCTTCACCAACGCTGCTAACCTGCTGCTACACTACGGCTTGACCTCCCAAGCACAAACGCTGCTGGAGCAAGCATTGGCCCTCAATGAGCCAGAGGTAAAGGTTATTATGACCTTCACACACAAGGCCAGCGTACTGTTCACCATGAACTTTAGTTATACACTTGCAATGCTGTTATTAAAGACATCACTGCTTGGGTTGCCAAATGATTAAAATGAATTTGAATCTCATTCTTCTCACAGACGTTGTGAATTAATCATGATTATTTGAGACAAATCACCATTCCTAAATATGATTTTTTTTTTTTGTAGGTGTATGGTGTATGTGTTTTACATATTATTTTGATTTGGTTCAATCCAAATGATGTAATCATTAAAAAGGCCAAAAAATCAAGAATAATATGCAGAAGAATAACTCAAAATTTAGCTTTATAGGGTTGCTGGATTTACTGTGCATCTTGGCAGTGGCTTGTAAAACATGTCCAGAGTTGCTTAAAAATATTGCTGAAGCACTTGTCCTGAACAGTATTAATTTAATTGATTTTCCCTCTGTAGTTGCATTTATTCAAGTGTTTAGTTTTGTTGTACTGTATTGGCTTATTTAGCCTAACTTTATATACTTTGTGCAGGTAGTAATATTGTATCTATGAAGTTTGCTTGTTTGTGTAGTGCAGATCTGTTGATATTGAGGATACACAGGATATAGTTTTGTTTCTAATTATCTCTTGTAATAAGAACAACATTTTGCTACTCTATAGTTGCTCTAGTATTCTATTCTTTGACCTTTATGGTTTGCACTTTAATGTGTAAGTGATGTTAAATCTTATTGTGTTAATTAAGTAAACTAAAATAAATTGCCAACATTTAATTTTTAAACAGAGTAAAAAGATTCGTCTTTAAAAAGTAGTGATCAGGGACAGCACTAATTCTTCATTAAACTTGTTTATTGGAATTTTGATAGATGATTAAACTGCATGTTGACAAATTAATTGTTGGGTGGCAGTTCTGTGACCTTGGCTGTGTAAAACTGCAATATGTGACCACTAGGGAGATGAACTGCCCCCTGTGGTAAAATGCAGCCTATTCCTGCCTCCACTAAAGAGTTTTCCTTGTGCTAAATAGAGATCTGGACAGTGTTTCTATAATTTGTAAGGTAGTCCACAGAGACCTGGAGCAGAGCGGACTACTGCTGATGTTACCACATCTTGTATCTCAACAACAGATGGAAAATGAACAGGAATGGCTTATTCAGTAGTTTGTAGTGTGAGTCAAACTTGGTGGTTGTACACAGGGACAATTAGCTGTTGTGACCTCAGGGAAAGTATGTGGCTTGTTTTCAGTTTCTAACAATGTCTAACAAATATGTTCACTGCTACATTTTTATATGCATTTCTTTGCCTAGCCCCACACTCAGCTCAGTATGGTGAGTCTACGATTGGCCCAGGACAATGTGACAGGTGCTCTGGCCCTGTTCCGCCACGTCCTGGTAACCGCACTCTCCTCTTCCTCTTCCTCCTCATCCTTTGCCGGCTGTGAGCAGTGTCGGTCGTGTCTACCTCTGCTGCGTTGTCTCCAGTTTTATCCAGTCCTTTACAATCTTTCACACCGACAGCTCTGCCCACGTGAGTAACTCCAACCCAAGTTGACTCAAACTATTTAATCCAGAAATCTGACTACATTGTACATGTCTAAAGTAAAAACAAAAATCATCCATATTTAACCCCTGGTATCATAACTTGTTATAAAAATTAATAACTTTATCAAGGTGTATAGTTGTTACAGGCTGTACAGTATACAGCGACTGTACAGTATATGAAAAGGTTGAGGTTGTGGTTTGTTGCAGATGAGCCTGCAACTACAATTACACTAATGGTCCGTCCCCACGAGTGGCTAAATGAAACAAATGTCTTCTGATAAGATTCATCCGCCCCTTTTGTTATGTATCAGTGGGAGTGAAGTGCATAGTGTTTTGAAGTGGAGAATATTTTCCACTCAATAATTCAGGCTGCAGAAAAAAGCTAATGCTAAATTTAGAAGCTTTCTGTTCTGTCCACAGCTAAATATTGTTCTCGTTGAGTACATTGAACACATCAGGTGAAACGGAGTGAACTGTCCTATGTCAGCCTGAAGATTAATAGAACATATCCAACCATCAACATCAGTTCTTTTAAATCACATATTGGTGGCAGTAAAACTGGTTGGAGAATGGAGTGTTTTTTTCCTGTTAACTAATCATTTTTCCTATCCTTACATTAATATAGAGGGAGCTGTTGCCTGTATGTTGGAGGAGGACTTGAATATACAGCTGGAGGAATGGGAGGGGGAAAAGCCAGATGCAACTGTAATTTCTCCAGTTGAAAACTCATTGCTTTTTGAAAGTAAGATTGAAATGAATTATGTCAAAAACATGTTTGTTTTACATATAATAATAATATTATAATTTCAAAATGTGTCAAAGGTGCAGTAAGTCTAACTTCACCCACAGCACATTGTGACAGGTCTCAATCCCTGCTCGCTTGCCATTCAATCGCTTCCAGCTATTTTACATAAGTTAGTAGTTATCACAGACTTGAGCCTTGTATGGTGAATGGAACAGATGTCTTCTTCTCGGCTGTTCCAGTGAACTCGCAGTGTAGAGTGCAGTTGCAGCAGACAGAAGAAAAAAAAAATGTTCAAAAATAGCGTAAACTCCCTGGAATAATGAGAGACAAGAACAAAAAATGTGTGGTCCACATTTTGTCCTGAAAATATACTAAATCGATGTCGGTACAGTGGTGTGTGGCTTTTGTGTACCGTTAATGCCCTATAACTCTTTTGTGGCAAGGTCCATTTATTATTTACATTAAAAATATATCAGTAGGGACTCACTGTATGCTATCCAAAAATACCTCAGGCACATTTTAATTTTCCTCCTGTTTGCAAATTGCTGTTTCTGTTATTCACGGTCTAATAAGTGTTCTGTACCTGTATCTGTACTTCTAACTGTACCCAACTGTTATAACATTCCACTTTTCATTAATCAACAGAGGTTGTCCTGGACAGCAACGGGTCAGGCAAAACAGCTGGACAGCACCTGGTTTCTTCCTCTCCCACAGGAAAAGCTAAATTTTCCACAGCATTTGGAGGTGGAGAAGTGGAAGGGGAGGAGGAGTGGCAGCTGAAGGAAGACCTGATGGGAGCATTTGAGGGCGCACTGGATGTTTCAGGCAAACGAGGGGACCTGCGTGGTATACGGGTGCTGAAGAATGACCGTGTGATGGGCTCCCGTGCCAGCGGTGGCCCCTGCTTTGGAAACTGTGAAGATGACGAGGGAGCAGAGTGGGTTAGTGTGTTATCTTTGTATTTTGATAAAATGTCTAATTATCAGATTAATGTTACATTTATCAGGTGGGATGATAGGAAGAAATGTGCAGAAATAAGCTGTTTTATTCCCACGTAGATCACCTTCCAGGTAAAGCGGGTCAGGAAGGCTAAAGCGGACGGGACAGATAGTGTCACCAGCTCTGACGACGGCCAGCATGAGGAGTTGTTGCCAGGAGGACACTCTGTCCTGGAGATCAGCGGGCCAACTATTCCGTCACCTGGTCCTTCAGGTATTTTTCCTTTAAACTATATTGTACACAAACAAGCACAAAGATTCTGGGCATTACCCAGCTGACAGAGATGTCTCTGTGGTTTTGGTGTTTCTCTCTCAGGTCGCTGGAGGGACTACACAAGTCTTGGCTGGCCTGGGCCGGAGGAGTGCCAGCGAACAAGAAGAGTAGACTTGACCACTGTGGCCAGCACCTGGTTAGCTGTGTCTGCCAAGAACATTGAGTAAGACTTTTAACCTCTGATTAAAGAGGATTCTTGTTCTCACTGCTGTGAGAGTACAAGAAACTTAAGAAGGTTAAAACATACAAAGTATTTTATCCCCTTGTGTTTCCATATGGCCTCATTGACTGTAACAAGACAATGCTTGTAATCCAACTGCTTTAAAGTCTGTGTGAAACTGTTGAATCAACTTTAAGAATACCGAGGAAAAATATTTTAGATTGATGTTCCACTGAAAAACTATTTTTTGTCTTTAATGCCTAAAATGTAATCTTGGTGCCAACGTAATATGAACTAAGTCTTAGGATAAGATAACTGTTCACAGACTTGTAGCCTAGTGGTTACAACTTACAGGTTCAAGCTTGTGGTCGGCTCCTGTACATTACCAGTTTATATCTCATAGATGACAAATCTGTGGTTTGTTAAGAATGCAGCAAAAGCTCCTGGCTTCCCCAGAGCAATAAAAGTGTTACTGAGTGCTGCTATGTTCCTGGTGTCAGTCACTAAACCTTAGTGACTTAGTGGCTTTGTTGCACAGATGGGTTAAACTCAGAGGGCAGATATTGTTGTGTGTAGTAATAATGCATGTACCATGACACATAAAGATCTCTCTTTTTCTTGTTTTTATTGCAGCATCACAGACCACATAGACTTTGCCACGCCACTCCAGGAGCCCGCAGCTGAACCTTTATGCAACGCCAACCTTGCCGCAAGCATGCACACCCTGGACCACCTGGCAGGAGTGGCCAATCGTGCTGCCATCCACTATACTGGAGAGAGTCAACTACGTGAGGTACTGTATACTGAGGCAGATTCCCTGTTCCTTTAAATAATGTTAACATTTTAATAACATTGAGGTTTTACTAGAGCAGTTCTTTAATGCATCTATGTTCTCAAGCTAGCACCACCTTATACCATTAATGTTACACATTACACACCTTGTCTTTAACAGGTCCTGCAGAACCTCGGCAAAGATAAGTTCTCCCCCCAGTCCTTTGAGCAGGTGGGAACACGTATCGCTAAAGTACTAGAGAAGGTAAATGCTTCCTGGAGTTATGTCAACCGAAACTTGTGCATTAAAGTATCCAACGTGTTATATCTTTATGCAAACTAAAGATAATTTTTCTTGCCTTTTGTCTTACAAAACATACATAGACTAGAGCTGTATGATTTCAAGATAAAATGTGCGCTTGCGAATACAATGTTTAACATTAATTAGTTAGTAGTTAATTAGTTAACTAGTAATTTGCAATATGTTTTATATTGACATATTTTGTATTACAACAGTGTATTTCTCAACTTGAAATATCCAAAACCAAATCATTGAAGTAACCAAATAAAGAATTGTGTTCATAATTTATAATACATTTTTTAGCCCTTGTTCTAAACACCAGATGTTCTTCACTTGTTGCCAGATGTGCCTTTTTTGTCTACTATATCTGCAATTTAATCCACAGAACCAGACATCATGGGTGTTATCCAGCATGGCTGCTCTTTACTGGAGGGTGAAAGGTCAAGGCAAGAGAGCCATTGACTGTCTGCGGCAGGCATTAAACTACGCCCCCCATCAAATGAAGGTAAAATTAAAAAAAATTACTTAACCACCATTTTTAAACAATAAATCGAAATATGAAAAAATAAATATCTTTGTTGTTGTTGTTTTAACTAGGATGTGCCCCTTATTAGCCTGGCCAACATTTTCCAGAATGCTCGCCTGTGGGAAGATGCTCTTACGGTGGCACGTATGGCAGTAGAGATCGCCCCACACTTTGTTGTGAACCACTTTACCCTAGCCAACGTTTACATAGCAATGGTAGCACATTTTCTGTTCAGTTGCTAAAATAGAAAATAAAAATACCTGTTATGTACAGAAGCACTGATGTGTGTGTGTGTGTGTGTGTGTGTGTGTGTGTGTGTGTGTTTATGTACTGTGTGTGTACTGTGTTGTATTTGCAGGAGGAGTTTGAAAAAGCCATGCACTGGTACGAGTCCACTTTGAAGCTGCAGCCTGAGTTTGCCCCCGCCAAAGATCGTTTGAGAACCATTCAGTGTTACCTTCTCACCAAGAGGGATCGCCGTCAGCCCTAAAATGCACTGCTAGTTTAAATAGACGAAGTCCCACAATCATATACACACATACACACATACATCTGTTTAGTACCTGCAGCAAACATGAATATTTCAAAAACTCCAATGTGGAAAAAAGCTGAGGCATCATGATTTATACCTCGTTGTATTGGGCTTTTATCATCTACCTCTAGCTTTTAGAATTAGGGTTGGACGCAGAAAACAAGTAGAAAACTGTGCTGCACAACTGGCTTCCAACAGCAGAACCAAACCAGTCAGATCCAGTTTAAACTGTCAAGTGGAGAAGCATCACCATATAGCACTGCAACAGGGAGATGGAACCATGTTTTAATTTATGGTTTTAATTTGAAAAGAAAAAAAATGCTATTTTAATGCCATTCAACATGATTTGCTTAAATACTTTTGCTGGGGTGGTGAGCAATACACTTCTCAAATCAGAGATGAGGTGAGACAATTTAAATTGCATTTTCCCAAATCACTTCTGCCTTGTAAAATGAATTGGAATTTTAATTTTTGCACTTTTTACCTATCATTCCTATTTATGTGGGACCTACAATGATTTTACTCCAAGCTAATTTAAAAACAACACAAAGGAAATTATATTAAAATGCTATTTACATGTGCTTCTTAACTAAAGAAATCTTAAGGTTAAAAAAACTTGCCATTGACCACCTATTAAAAACATGCAAAACTCTAATATTGTACAGTATTAAAGGCAGCATTTGGGTTTTACCTGTTTGTGTGTCAGTTCTTTGTGTTATTAATGGTTTTAATTTTCTAACTATTAATCAAATTCTACTATGAGGTTTTGTGAAGATGCCCTATCTGACCTGGTGGCGCCACTTTCCAGTCTGCTAATCTATGATTTATTTTTTGAGTTGTGTAGTTCTTCAAAACAAACTTACAAAGTTAGCAGTTCTGCTAATGAAGCAATAACATTTTTGGTTATTCATAGTCACCCTAATAAGACATAAACCTGCTCAGTAAGTGGCCAATGACCTATGATATATGTTGAGATATGCAGAGTGTGAGAGGCAAGATTGAAACCATTTCATACAAATTTGTTCTATTGATTTATCAGTTACAGATACACTGATGTGTCCTTCAGAGATACGGAAAACTGCTCATTGCTAAAAAGTGCAACCAATAGCACCCATGTGAAAGTGTGCTTTTTTTTCTCTCCCACTGCTGCTTTTTTCTGACTAATGCAAAAACTAAAAATAGCACAAGCACAGTGCAGTGTGCTATATTTGGAATCCTGTAAAGGAGCACGATGAATGCAGAGGAGCTGAAGAGGAGGTACAGACTGGTATAAACACCATTCTGCACCACAGAGGGAAATGCACTGCTGCATTACTAAAAGACATTTATAATTGTGAGCCTTTTGGTCTATTTCTGAGCCACTGAATCGTTTCCCACTTGGTTCTGGAATGTTTTTGTATGAATAATTGACTGGAGTGGTATTTTTGATTCACTCTGTCTTGACAGCAGTGTATAAATAGTTTGTGTGTAGCAGAGTGTGTATGGATTTGCTAGCAGTGTGTACCTCAAAGTAACAGCTCTCTTATGTAACAGACATGTGAGCTGGCACACAACACAGACACTTTGCAGTGAATGGGTACGTGTGATGCGCCGCACCATTGAGATTTTTCAATGATTGGTTACTGAATGGTAGTAGAATAATAATACACACATATACACACATATAATTTAATATAATAAAGATACAGGGAACAACCAACATTTTCTTTATTCATAAACTTTATTTCTAAAACATCTTACGACACATTCTGCAATTAAAAACCACTTCCACAGATGAACAGGAAATTCAGAGTTTGATTTGTTGCCTTTTGTTGTCGGATAATTGTTGCAAAATCACCAAAACTGCACAAAAACTTCTTTAGGATGTGGGAGACATTTGTGTTGTTAAGAAATACCTAGGCTAAAGGCAAACATTCAGGCACACTCACTAAGGCTATCAAACAATTCTTTAATAATCTCTGCAGGTGTGACATTTTTCTTGCTAACAATCCATTGAGATTGTAAAAGAAAGAAATTCATAAATCTAACCTCGAATAAGCAAGGGGTGCATCACTGCCATCATCATCTCTTTGGAGGGCCACATCAGTAATCAAGTATTATTAAAAAAAAAAAAAACAATGTTTGTGACAGTGCACGTGATAGCATTAATTTTGGGCTGTCGGTATGTATGTATATATATACACACACATGATACTGTATATAGCTACTCCCTACAGGAGGTATCCAGTAATGCATTTCTTAAAGAAACACGCTGAAAAGACAGTCCATCAGTCTCGTGATTCGACGAGATCAAATTTATTTTTTGGCACTAAATCCAATGCAGTAAGTTCTTCACCAGGATGCTGCCTGTTTTTGCCTCGCAGTATACAGTATACTAGGCCACCTTTTGCAGAAAAACCCGCAGCGCCAGGCATGTTGAGCACGGGAGTTATAAATAGCATCATGGTTCGGCCAAGAGCCGCTCCGTTACTACGCGTTTCTGCATTCTGCCCTGTATGTGCAGGGGGAGAGTCTGCAGCCAGGACTGAGGCAGAGGCAGAGGCAGAGGCAGTCTGCACCTCTCCTCACTCTGCTCTGCATCACCGACCTCATCACCAACATCTACATCGTTACACTGGAGGCCACTACTCTGTGTGTTTAAAGAAAACCGTACCATTCGTAGACACAATTTCAAGGCAATGTTGTGTTAAATAAGAGAGGGGGGGGGGGGGGGGGGGGGGGGGGCCCCCCCCCTTTATGACGGCGGACCGGCCTCATGGCCAGTGGGGCTCTGTAGTTACTCACCATGTTGGTCTTCCAGTGATGTGAAGGAGTGGAGTAAAAAAACAACAACAACCAAAATAAGACAGAGGAAAATGTGTTCTTCCTTCTTCAGAACATTATCTACAAATACACATGTCCAGCTGATATTTAGTTGGACTTAAGCGGCTTCTGTAGCCAAATAAGATGCAATGGAGGCGCCTGCCAGTGCACTTCAGAGTGGGAGATTCTCTACGTGACGTCAATGTCGCTGATGCAGCCCCCGGCACACACAGGTATAATTTTGATTTATCCATGTATTTTAATTAACACATATTTGTAGTTTTACCAGAATGGCACTGGTCGTGTTTTTGTGTGACCAGTTACTTTACATACGGACCCAAACGTAGCTTCTGCACACTTGGGTCATTTGCTTGAGAATTGTGTGATGTTCAATTTACTATTCCGAAACACCACTATAAGGAGATGCTTTGTCGTGTACGCGCAACAGTCGTGCGTGAATATGCAGGGAGGGAGGGAGAGGCGGGAGCTCGCAGCCGTTTCTCAAACGTTGTAGGCTCGAAATTCCTCCAAGGAACCTCTGCCAGCTTTTCTTTTTTCATCACGCGCGAGCTAAAAATAGAAACGGGGTTGGATCGTGATCCAGAAATAGATAGGGGGCATCACTCCTATAAAAGGCACACCATTCAAGAGTACAGTGTGTGCACAGTGTGAGGAAGCGAAAAGCTTCGCCGTGTTTAAAGAGAAAAATGTTTCAAATGTATTTCATGATTTATTCTGAGGGAAGCATTCCATGCCTTTGACGGAGGCTGCACTGCTGCAATGGTGAGTTTCACCACTGTTTTCTACAGGCTTTGCTGCATGATTGTTCGGGTCTTTTGTGCAAAGAAGAGACGTGGATGTGGATATTTCATTAACGCAGGGATCTCCCTCACTAGGAGCTTCAATTGTTGTATAATATAGTCTATTTTATCCGTGTACAGTTGCTGTGATCATTGTTTTGTCAGGAAAGAGTTCAGCTTTTTGGATGAAGACGATTTCTACACTGTGCGGTGTCTGGGGAGCTGTCCGCCTGTTGTGGTGCTGAAGTCGTTAGAACCGGTTTGTCTCTTTTCTACTGATCGTCCCTACATCGCTGTGGTCACTTACTATACTAATGGATGGATGGATAAGATCTCTGATTGAAGGGCTTGACAGGATTTTTTTTCTCCTCTTTTTGCATGCACTGACTTGGATTTGTCAGGTTTTCTCGCAGAAACTAAAAGACGAGTAGTCCCCACGACTCAGGTATGTAACTACCACTATAGTAAAAGGCTCGTTTGCAGATTTTCATGCCAAAATCTGTTTGCGTATCCGAATAATTTAGAGTCGTGACTGCTAAAAGTGAGTAAGGCGCGTTGCTGCGTCAGTAGCGTCTGGATCAGTGCGCTCAGACAGATGGGGGAAATCGTGACCGGCTTGGAGACGCGTCCACAAACGCAAGGCTGTGCGGCCCAATGAAAACGGAGCGAGGGTGGGGCCCCTGCTTCAGCTGCTGGAGGTTTGGAGCAAGATTAACCCTTTGTAAATAGGGAAAACTAAAAAAAATATCTAGAGATAAACTATATCGTGAGTCACGTACGAACGATTACTGTACTCGTTTTTTTTTCACTCATATTAAGCCAAAGCAAATTAACAAAAGGACCCTGTGTTCTTTACTGCCTAGTGTATTTCCATCCTAATATACTCCATTACTGCTAAGTGTTTGGTGTAAATTCGAATAAATGTAAAAGGGACCGTGTGTCAGGTGCTTTGGCCTCCTCCTTAGGTGCTGCTTTCCTCTGCATTGCCATTGGTAGATGGAGACACGTCCCGTCCAATGATATCACGGCCAACACAGTGTATAACAGCAGCGATGATGCCGCCTCTCTCCTTATTGCCAGTCCTCTCTAATGCATGGCTGGATGCTGCTGCAAAGCAGTGTCCATTCACAGGGTCCCGACCTCTGGCCGTAACTGATGATAAACTATACAGCTGAGCTCTAGATGCAGATTGAAACACTATCACAACCCGCCGGTGCGCTGGGTGTGGGTTTGGGGGGAGTTGTCCGTCACGAATCTTTTTGCGGTCTGGGCTTGCTGTGATTACATGACTCTGGGAAGCCCTTACCCCAAAAAGCATTTGTGGAGGACATGAACGTCGCTGGTGTTATTTGGAGAGAGTCACAGTGCTGCTGTTAAAACGAGAAGAGGCTTGTTAAAAAAGACCGAGGATCGGATTTGCAAAACAAGTCAACAAGTGTGCCATTAAACGGTGGAAAAAAGGAGATTTGTTGGAATTCTGCATTTAATGGTATCCATTAACCCAACCATAATCATTTAAAAATCCCGATCAGTAAAAAAAAAACAAAAAACTATTCGTAATACCTACTAATTAGGTGTGGATAAATTAAAACAAAACACTGCAACATTTAGGTGCTGCTTGTCTTAGAGATTCTTACAGTCTTAAGAAGTCATCAAACCACTATGCACAAATAAAGCACAAAGTAAATGTCAGTAAAATAGACACAAACAATAAGTACTGTGAAGCCAAACTATTATTGTATTGTTACACGTCACCAGCCTTAACCTCATATCTGGATACACAGAATACACTGCTGTAAATATAAAATATAGGTTCTGTATTCTGAAACTCTGATGAATCAGAATGTCTTCATAGACTCAGACAAATTGTGTGTAATGGACATTTCTCTCTCAGCTGTGTAATTTTATATACTTTGTGATACTCTTTGTCAAATGTGTATTTTCTATATATTCATAGTACACAAAAAATATTGAAAAATGCAATCCACACAGAAGAACAAATAACAAAACTATTAAAGCCAAGCGTCATTTAGAAGATAGGCATCTCTTTCTTTTTCTTATTTTTTATTAATTAAGTTATTGTATTGTTGTCTTTTTCTTACATTAAAAACATTGTTTGTTCAGCCCACTGAGGATACAGGAACGTAGAAATGTATTAGGAATGTACTTTACAAACAAGGAGTGGGTGAGATTTGAAAAGAAAAAGGAAAGAAATAACAGAGTAATGAACACATTTTTATTTCTGTTGAAGTGTCAAAGCTAAAAACATGTTGTGAATGTTGTGAATTTTAAACATGAATTTAACGTCGCTGGTCATCTTTCCATTCTTCTTTTGTTTCTCCATCTCTCATTCATTTATTTCTTTATTGATAAATAACAATGCAATAAACAACAATATTTGTAGTTTGATTTTAAAGGCAAAATAACATTAAAATCAAACTCTGTGACATTCTGTGAGTTGTTAGGTAATGTCTTTACGTAGTGTAGAGTTCATGTTTGTTTTTAGATTAACACAGTTCAAATTCTTAAAGCTATTCTTTGATAATAAATTTAACACTTTGAAGTTTAATTGCTTGTGTGTCCCTTTTTAAAACATTTAAATTACAGCCTCTTTTTGGTTTAGTGATGTCTCTCTCTCTCTCTCATTCATCACACACACACACACACACACACACACAAACACATGATTCTCTGTGGAGGCACATAAAGACGTGTGTTTAATCAACTTACCCTAAAGACAGGAAATAAGGAAGATCAGTCAGCGTTAGGACATGCTCAGAAAATATTATCTCTGTGTAGTCTACCTTGTGTGAGATATAAAATTTGGACTTAAGATGTACATGAGAATTAGATGTAGCTCATTATTGCTCAAATATATTTCTACATTTAAAAATAAAAGAACGGACTGTTGTGCACAGAATGTTGTGTACTGTTCTGAGTAATTCTGCTTGCCTGGTAACCTGTATGATTTGAGTTTATCATTTTAATTTATTCTTCATTATTCTTCATACTATTGTGGTAAATTAATACAGGTATTTGTTAATTTACCTAATTTCAAATCCATACCATCTTGATATGGGTTCCTTATTTCTTCAGAGATGGTGTTATATCTATAGTGACTGAAAATGTATTGTTTTTGTTACTGTATGTCTAAAATGAAATTGCCTTTTACACTTGTCAGAATGAGGGGAAACATAAATAAACATTATTAAACCATGATTTTCTCGCCAGTGTGTTGTGTATTTCAGAGTTTACTTCCAATAAAAAAATATAAAATGTGTTTTGATACAAATTTGTATTCATTACATATAATTTTCATGTTTATTATTTTTGTTTCTAGTATTATTAATCAAGTCTCTTCGTGTGAGTGTGGTCATAATTCTGTTTTGTCCTTTAACAAATGAACTTTTCTTTCTGCAACGCTACAATATGTTTCTCTCAGCAACAGACTCAAAGTTGAATGTAGCTTGGTGTAATGCATCTAATTATGTAAATAGTGTTAAATAAAAACTATGAAATATTTATTTTCATAATTATCACAGTAAAGAGTAGACTTTCATTATTAATACTTCACACTCACATGTGAACTTTACACACTATATCAGATCACAATTACCAGCCAATCCAACGATGACTTAATGACTTAGGTATACTCAATAATAATTGTATCCTTGTTCTTTTGGAAACTTATTCGACCCCTGTTTACCATTGCTGCATTTCTATTTTTAGATTTAATTCAACTTATGTAACACTCACATCATGGACTGCTGCTGTCTCTTCTACTTGGTCGACTTGAGCACACCATGTCTTATGTATTGATTTCAATTTAATAATTAACCCTTGTGTAATGTTCATATTGTTGTTACTCAGCCAGTGTTTGTGGGTCTGATGGACCCGTTGCATTTTGTTGCTTTTGATGCCTCACAATCAACACTTTTATGTTAAAATACTGAACAGATGTTTGCCTTATCCCAATTACAAGCAGTATAAACAATATATATGGTTAATATTTGCCCTTTACCTTTGTTAGGTCACATTTATATGTTATAGGTATGTTCTGTGTACCTACACTCTGTCCTCCTCCTGTCTAGGCCTGCTGTGTGTGTGTGTGTGTGTAGGTGTGTAGGTGTGTGTGTGTGTGCGTGCGTGTGTGGGTGCATGTGCGCGTGTGTGTGTGGTACACAGAACATCAATTTCCACACTTCTATTAGCCCCGGGTCCAGTGGACCCGAACATCTTATATGTAATAGAAATGTGTAGGGGGGGTGTATGGTGTGTGGTCATTAAATATGTATTCTGATATATGTTCTTCACAGAAAATGAGCCAAAGCCAGTGAGTCTCAGTTTGAAAAATTAAATAATTATATCATTTTTCTTTTATTAAAAAGTGAAAACGGGTCCCACAGACCCGAACACCACACAAGGGTTAAACTAATTTACACAAAGTGAGGAAAACAATCATAAATAGTTAATAAATAGTTAGTATTATAGAAAATGTTTTTAACACTTCCTTTTTTAAATACACACACGTTTTTTTCCAAAAACCTGCTCTCTGAATTTCTTTGTGGTCTAATATTTTATACATTTCTGAAAAAATTAAAAATAATTCTGACTAATTAAGGTTTGTTTCTAGATGTTATGCCATATTGTGATAAAAAAAACACAATTGAATGGAATCAGATTTATAATTAGCTGTAATGGCATTATAATAACAAACTCCATCAGTCTGTCTAAAATATATTATTTGACACAGAAATTAAGACACACTGATTATATTTTTTTATGCCATGCTTAATAAATAAATTGTATCCATGGAGAGATTCATACATGTGGAATTATTCTAATGTACACAATAACAATTTTTGAGTACAGCAGACAGTGTATATTGTTCAATTGAATGCTCTGTCAACATACAGTATATACAGTTGACATCAATATGTGTGACTGTATTACAGTGTTACTCATGACACATATGATGTAGTTTTCTTGAACATTATTAAATTGTAGCAATCAGTGTGTCAAAAAAATAAAAACTATTTGAAAGAAACTAGCAGTCCAATTTCTTTGAAAAATCCCTCTTTGGTTCACAAAGAAGAAAATGCAATTCACATTGTTTTTTAATGTGCTTTGTTTTCTTACATTTCATTATTTTTAAAATTGTTTTACTGTTGTATTAATACACATGCATTTAAGAGAACAAACAAAGTAATTTGTTTAACCCTCAAAAAAGTAAAAATACAGAGCGATTTTAATGAAGACATGCAGCTAAAAGCTTAAAGTATTGTCATTCAGGTCATCTGTATATTATTAAGCATTTTACAGTGTTGGAGACAATCCATGTCATTGCAATACATATACATTTTTTAAAACAAATATTAACATGAAAACAAAACATTGAAACAAATAGGTCTTCATAAAATGATGTATTTTATTAACCTGGTTAATTAGTAATGCAGAAACAATACATAGCGTCCTGAAACTAAATCACCACACATTGCAAAAGCTCCGTGTTTTTTGTACTTTATTTATTTATTTTTTAATTTATTGTGACTTACTATTTATCTTATGAAGAAAAAAACAATGACGTTTTCTACTGGTAGGTGTCAGTATATCGGTGTCTTCCTATCTTTTTCTCAGTGCGCGAAGAAGAAAGTGACCAATTGTGACAGCGCAGAGCTAATGCGGATATCCTGAAATCTTTTCCAGTGTAATAGTTCATGTTTCGCTTGTTGACTTATCACTGCACTGACGGTCGTGGTTGCCCAGACAGTCATACAGACGTAGAACAGTGTTAGTGTTTGTTCTGCAGGAATGTCGTCCAGTGCAGAAGTCGTGTTTAGGGCCTTAGAGACTCCGCTGCTCTGCCTCGGTGCTGTCACCGCGGCCTGGATCTCTCTGTGCTCCGTCTATCGGCTTCTGTCCAGCTTCAGAGTCTGGGTCCTGGGAAACGGGCAGGTCGTATCTCCTACTAAACTTGGCAAATGGGCAGGTGAGGTTACACGCAGGGTTAACAGTCACGAATGTTTTGTATAATTTTAGTACAAAGTTCCCAAACGACGTTTCGTCTAGAGCCATGGAAGTTATAAAGCGATGAACATATGAGCTCCAGTTATTCCTTTGAATTACTCAGCATGCTATCATGTTAGCCTTGGTGGTAGTGGTAGCTGCAGACAGTTGTAATGGTTTATGAAAAAGTATGATTTTGGTTCAGTTATGATTTATGCAGAGAGACAATTTTATGTTGAATATCAAAATATAATCAGCACCTTATTGATATTTTGTTTATTAATTAGGTTGACCCTTCAGTGTGTTGTAATCCGTTGAGAATTGTGTAAAAAGCAAGATCTTAAACATCATCATAAACTGCGACTAGTAAAAGTTAATGCATGGTTCCGGTTCATTTTGTTTTACATGTTTGATGGTTTGTTGTCTTTTTGCCTTTTGCTTTAAAATGTTTATGGGTGAAAATATGAATATCTAAGCAAATCCATGCAGTTTTCCTGCATGTCCTTCCCCTCAGGGATCTCACCACCCCACATAAGGAACTGATTTTTGGACAAAATGGTTGAGATTATTTTTATTATTTTTATTTTTAATTTTGTATCTCAAGTATTTATAAAAGAGTACCAAACATACAAGGAACCTGATTGTGGAATGCTGTACTACATTATTGCTAAAACACAGCTACAGATTCACTTATTTCTGCTTCTTGTGGAGTTCTAGTTCATTTTTTACCTAAATGTTCTGTCTTCTGCTTAAATATTCATTTATTTATTTCTACTGTGTATTTAGTTTCTTACTACTAACCATCATCACTCTGTACAATGCTCGGCTGAATAATCACACCCACATTGCATAACATGTATGAATAGTTTACCTTATCATGGACTCATAGGTCAGCTGAGTAATGACAGAACATTCTGCGCATGAACAAGTCATTTATTTCTCTGTCATGGCTGCATTCTTTTAAACTCTCTTTGTCCCAGCAAGGGCAGTTGATGCTTTTCAGTTTCTTTGACAGAATAACAAGGACTTTACATCATTACTAATAAACTTTAGTAAAGCATGAAAGTAGGATCATATCTTGTGGGGATTACAAACCCAGTCTGAACGGTGTCCATTTGTCCTTCCTCCATATTGTCTGAACCTTGAAGTTTGAACTACAGGTGCTGTAGTATACTTTTTTTTTTAGAACATGTTGCTGAAGTATAGCAAAAAGTATATTGCAGACTAAAAGTAATGAATATTCAAGTGGTGTTTCAGTTAAATTGTATCAGTTTGTTGTGCAGAAAACAAAAACATCCTGAGAATGGCTGGTAATGTTGCATATTGTCCCGTTATGTCAACAATAATGAAAGGAAATACTTAAGTTATTTTGTTTTCAGTGATGTATGTATGCACATTGCTGCTGTTGTTTTTGTTGGTTTTCATTCACAAATCCTGTTCCACAGGAGTGCACTACATTGAAAGGCCAGTGGGATTATGTAACAGCACCCGAGCTGTTAAAACAGCACAGAACATGCAGGACTCTTCTGGTTCATTTACACAGACGTTTATGTGTATGTGTGTGTGAGTGTGTATAGTTTTAGCAAACAACCACTGCTAGGACATTTTTGCAACTTATTAAATTCTTAAAAATGGTAAGGTTTTTATTTGGCTGTCAGCCGTATGTCATATGAGTGTGTTTTTTTGGCTTATATGATGTAAAGATGTTTCAATGGGAAATATTTTATATTTTTACATTTGTTTAAACATTTTTACAATTAGTAAAATATTAAATAAGACACCTATTCCCATGAGGGTTTCACACATTGTTTCAGAGCACACTGATATAAAACCACAACTTCAAATGTAGGACAGGATGCAGGTGTATTTTAATCCAGACTGTTTGCATAGTTGTCCTTTTTTTTGCACTTAACATGTTTTATGCGAAAGTTATGAAGTAATTACCTCAGGGTCAACAGGGTCAATATATTGTGATATTGATTTGAGGAGCACCTGTATACTCTCAGCACTGATGATTTGGGATTTATTTTTTCAGAAATAAAGTAAACATACTGTGTGTTTGTTGAAAGAATTCATATAATTTATTTTAAAACGAATCATGGCTGCTGCAAAGTTCCCGCTGTTCTAAAGGGTGACTGTAACCCTGGACCTAACGTAATAAAATGATCTCCACTGTGACAACCAACAAATGGCAGCATGATCAGATCAGGTGGGTAGCCTAACCTATATTTTAAAACAGACGGCACATCCTTAAACAGACCTTGTGGTATTTGGGTGAAGTGATCCGTAGACTTAGCTGTAAAAGCTCTCTATCCTGTAATGACAGCTACAAGTTCATTCTTAAAAAAACCCCAAAATAACCCAGCCTTTGTTCCGATCATCACTGAGCACGCAGACTCACCCTCACTTTTCCTTACTCCATTTCTTCTTCTTCGTCTTTGTGCTATTTTTGGTTGCCCCCAGGATATCCCATGCATATGTTTGATCTCCCCCTTCTGTTTATGCTTGCTGCAGCCCTCTGGGTTGTTGGCACCTGAGCATTATCTGTACACAGGGAGATCAGCTTAAAAACAGATGGGTTCAGTAAAGGGTAAATACAAATTGACATTGTTGCCGAACTAAAAAGTGTTTTATACCTCCTTATACCACTATATACCTATAGTGTATTTTATACCTCTATGTGCATTTCTTTCGCTGCACTGTATGCCACAACAAATTCCTTGTAGGTGAAAACCTACCTGGCAATAAAAATGTTTCTGATTCTGATTTTAAAAATAAAACCACATTTTAAATCAGTTGAAAAACTTAAACAAAATGCTCATAAAATAAAATGATAAAACTTGTCAAAGCCGAGATAACTGTCAGACATGTTTGACTTATGACATCTCATTTTTACCATGCAACACAGAATAGTGATTATGAAAAGAGATTGTAGAATTAATATGTGAGTTTGTAATGCAAATCCTTTATTTATCACAGGAGAGAAGACCTCAAGGGTTGATTTGTGGCTTGTACTCTAATTAGTGAATATGTTGTAAGATGTTTTTGTGCTGTACTGGATTGTTATGCACGAGTGGGTGAGATAAATTAATTTGTTGGGAGTATCACCTTGTTAATGACACAGCTGAGTGAGTCTTTTTAGTCCTAGTTTTTGGTATTTATCCTAAATATGAATGTGTATAATGTGCCATTGAAGCCTCAGCCTAGATTCTCAGTTTTCCAGTTCTTGTTTCTGCTAAGTCTGTGTGGGAGGCCCTCACACATTCCCCAAAACAAACAAACATACAACACAATAAAAATGAGGACCACAAAATTGTAATCTAAACAATAATTGTTCGTTGACTTTGAATCATGAGCAGAAAAACCCCTCTGCGTTGAGTGGGTGAGATAAATTAATTTGCACCTGCAAGTGTTAGGTGTGACACGAATTGAAACATAGGTTCCACAAGCAATTCTTTTTATGATCCTCCGTATGAACGTTGTGTCCAATGATCAGAAAAGCCCAGAAGTTTGCCTTATTTAAAGTCTGTGCCTATGTACATATGGAGAGATACAGTAGTTAGAAAATTTCAATTGTGCATGTACATTCAAAGAACTTTACTTTTTGACGTAAAGAGCCAGGAATGCATCAACATGGTACCAAAAGTATAGAGACACATTTGGTGACATTTTGGTCCAACTAGGACTTAAAGAGATATTGAATCTATGTTGCAAATGAACAAAAAAGCATTAAAAAACACTAATAACCAAAATTAATTTAAATGTTGCGATATATATTTTTAGTCTACACAAACCATCCTCGGTGTTTGTTTGTTTTGTATCCACTGCATCTTTCATTTCTCTGTGCATTTAGTGCCAGAATAGTATTGAATGAGATTGTACCAAGGAGCACCTCTAAACATAACAGAAGGACAATACAAACATAAGTTGTTGCTCCTAAATCTGGTTTAGAGGCTACATCAGGGACATTGTACCGCGTTGACTCTGAACGTCCCCCTTTCCCTATCCACGTTTGGTTATCTTTAGCCTATGATGTGATGAATCGTTGCCACTGAAAGATGGGAATTGCTAAAAATAGGCCCCTCGCTGCTGCTGCTGCTGTTGCTTTTTGTGCCACACAGTTCCAGGGCATTCTACGCTCCACTGATGACAGAGAAGACCTCAACCTCCCACTCCCCCCACTCTCTCTCCCTCTCTCTCTCTCTCTCCCTCTCTCTGCCTCTCTCTCTACCTCTCTCTCTGCCTCTCTCTCTGTCTCTCTTTAATTCTCTCTCACTGTCGTCCCTACTCTTTGTCTTTTAACCTTGAAATTGACTTATTGTATTTACTTAAACCCCTTGTGCTGTTCCATTATTGTCCCTCAGGAGCCACATGATCCTGAACTCATCACATCTTTATCGCCGTTTTCTGTTTAATTCTGAGAATGTACCTGTAGGTGGTGCTGTGGATCTATTTCTTCGATGTTGCCTTTTTTGTATTAGAATTCTATTTATTCCCTGTTCTTGGATCTCGAATAGGCCTCTTTTGTAAAAGTGATGAAGGCTAAAGAACGCAAAACAGAACAGTGATTTTTAAAAATATATAATGTAGTAGTATGTGAGTTTGTAATGCAAGCCCTTCAGTTATCACATGTGAGACTTCAAGGTTTGATTTTTGGATTGTACTGTAATTAGTGAATTTGTTGTAAGATGTTTTGTCCTGTACTGATTGTTATGCATGAGTGCGTGAGAGGAATTAATTTGTTGGGAGTATCACCTTGTTAATGACACAGCTGAGTGAGTCTTTTTAGTCCTAGTAATTTGTATTTTATCCTAAGTTAAATGTGTCATTGTCATTGAAGCCTCAGCCGTGATTCTCAGTTTTCTTGTTTCTGCTAAGGCTGTGTGGGAGGACTTTTTGTCTTGACTTAACAATTTGAGAGTTTTTTTTTTTTAAATGACACTAACAAGATTATTCTAATCCTGTCTTTTCTTCTTTTTTTTGTCTTCTTCTAGTTGTCACTGGAGCCACGGATGGAATTGGGAAAGCATACGCAGAAGAGGTAATTCCCTGCATATCTGACTCTTACCCATGATGCCAGACACAGAGGACACAAAGGAATGAATCCATCTTCTATCCTGTCACACATTAAGTCGTTATAGTTGACCTGACTCTGCAAAAAACAGCTGCAACTGCTGCCTAATTAATTATTTGTGTGCAAATCTTATTTCTGTGCTGTCAGGCTTTAATCATTTTGACAGGTCCAGTTAATTTCTTGTGCTGTTATGCTTCCAATGGGCCATGAGTGATGACATATGTTCATGCATTTTATTGACATATTTGCAGCTTGCCCGCCGAGGCTTTGCTATCGTGCTGATCAGCCGCTCTCAGGAGAAGCTGGATGACGTTTCCAAAGCAATTGGTAAGCAGTTTGTTTCAAACACACTATATAGGTGAAGACAGAATTGTGGACAGATCTCTACTATATCTTAAAAAAATGGATGGAGATATTTAGTATAAATTTTGACATTAATCACAGTGAAAAACGGCATGTAACTCAGTATTACTCGGTTTAATTCATCAGTGAAAACCAATCCCACATCCTGCAGTCAAGGGGAATCGGCAGTACCTGCCGTACACAGGCAAAAAGACAAATATTGTTTATATCTTAAGTATGACAGCAGCTTGACTGGAGTTCTGTCTTAATGATCCATACAGCTAAACAGTCTCATTTATCCTGAGAGTGAAATGTTGCATCCGAATTGCACTGTGTAACAGTCCAGCTGGGATAAATGACTAGCGACTGAATGATATTGCATTGCGTTGCATTGCGTGTCTTGCACAAGTGATCTTTTATAGAACGAAGATTCAAACAGGACCCATATGGTTTTGGGCTATGAAGCAGTAAAACTTCCTGCAGGAGATGAAAGTGAATTTGTCCTGTTAAATTAAAGATTTCTCTGAAGGGATGAATATCTGCTCATTGATGATAAAGGAAACACTTTAAGAGTTTCACTCTTAGTTTTCTTGTCCCTTTCCAACTGAAAAAGTCTTCCTGCCTGTTGTCTCTCCTAACTGTTTCTCGTTGCATTTTTGCTCAGAAAGCAAATGTGGTGTGGAGACCAAAACCATAGCAGTGGACTTTAGTGCTGTCGATATTTACACCAAGATAGAAGAAGGACTTGCAGGGGTGGAAATTGGCGTACTGGGTAAGACTGCAGCTTTTCTTCTCCTGTTCAATATGGTGATGAATTTTTAAATCTAATCTGTGTATTCTGTGTATATATTTATTTATTTGTGCTATAGTTAACAACGTTGGAATATCCTATTCGTACCCAGAGTTTTTCCTGAATGTCCCAAATATTGACACGGTAAGTTGACACCAAACTGTATTTTATATTTGAGGTGATAAATTGTTAGGCATTACAGTTTTTCCTTTTTGCATTTGAATTATTATTTGTGATTTTGGAATGTAATGTCATGAAGTTTTCAGGGCACACATTTTGGATTATTGGTCAGTAATTGTTTAACACTTGTATATAAAAAAAGGTCGTATGAGGAAGAACAGAACTTCTGCCCCTATTGGAACCCTATTTACAACAGCTGTTGTACTTTCTGCACTGCTGAAAATGTGGGGGGGAAATGTCATCGTTGATTAAGTGGAGAAAAAAAGAAACTTATGTCAAATATATCATTTAATGTTATATAATAAAGTTTGTAAAGGTTACATTAAGTGCTATATGATTCTTAGGGAAGAATCCAATCATTAATACTGGGTTCACTGCTAGATAGAGCAAAAACCAGATGGCATAGCAAAGTATAATAATGTATAAATACTTTAAAAATGACAATTTCTATTCGAAGTAAATGTTAAAAGGCATTTTAAACATACAATATAATATAAAGTATACAGTTCTTATTACTGCATTTATAATTTCTCTTGTCCTTCCTGTTTACAGTTCATTGACACAATGGTTAATATCAACATAACATCTGTGTGTCAGGTGAGTGTCAGCATTCGAAGCATTGATTTGTTCACAGCTTTTGAAGCAGCTGTTAGACTATTTTGCAGTATTTGACAGAAAGCATATCAAAGTTGGTTGCATCACTTTTTCCCAACACTATTCCAATATGCTGCAGGATGATCAATATTTATGAGCCATGAAGTTGCATCCACTACATCTTCTGGATCCGTTCTTTTTTGTTTTTCTGTATTCTTTTGGCTATTAAGAGAATCTGGTTTAAACATCTATTGATATCTTAAGAATACCGAGGAGAAGGGGTTTTAGAAAATATAATGAGTCTACACATACAGCACATCTATAGCCATGTCTGTATGAAAAA